TTGTAAAAAGTTATTTTTTAACATGTTACTAATAAATATCTTTTGAAACTATTCAAAGACCATCTACCATCTTTGAAACTATTTTGACTTTGATACAGGTCAAAGCATACAGTAAAGAATGTATTCTAATCAACCACTGTTTATTTATAACAATTATCTAAGATATGATTATCCTGCTATATTTAATATGGGCTCAATTCTATAATCATAATTGTAAATGTTGCTTTCCGTTCTTAGAAAGTCTGAAGAGTGTCATTTTTTATATCATGCAATCAAAGTTTTAAATCACAATCCCCTATTCTTTCCCTGTTTACTTTCAAAATAATATCAGCAATTCGGCCTCAAATGTACTAGATACTCTGCAAGTAATTAAACTAAATATAACGTACTTTTCTGAGAGTAATAATTAGGAATAATCCGACAAGCGAGAGCTGGCGGGTGAGCTGCGCGAAAATAGAAAAGGAGTTATTCTAAGAGAGATAGGAGAGGTACTTAATCGCGATTATAGGTATATAGTATAGGTACTTAAACGGTTATACACGATGTGAACTCCTAGCCGACTGCAATAGAAATGAGCAATTCCTTCCACTTTTTAATTTGTTCTACGTGCAACCCGCCAGCTCTCGCTTGTCTGGTTATAACACAAATTATCAACAAATGTAGGCTTTGTACTTTGTTGCATTGGGATTATTATTACTAGTCGCACTTACTTTCAATTATAAACATTTTACAGGTTAGATCATTAATAACTTTTAATTAAAAAAAAATTGAAAACTATTTCCGCATTGGAAATCGAAACATCATTGCAATCAATTGTGATTTAAACACATAACACATAAAAAGTAATCTGTATAAGGCAGTGTTAAAATATATCATTTTCAGCCATTGTATTTATTGTCTTGCTAATGTCGTGCCATCATGAAATAAAAATTTATTCTATCAGTTATAGTGAAGTAAAATATTGTACAATATTATCAATGTATGTTTCTGTCTTTGTCTGTCTGTTTCTGTTAACAAAAACCTTAAAAATAAACTCTGGTTGTGACGAAATATCAACCAACAGTTTATTTCATCGGAAAGTGCTATTTCAGACTCACTAACTCCCTCAAAAATTGCTTTTTTTCTCAGTGCCAAAAGCTGCCAATTGTGTAAGGCCCTCACTCACGAAGTGTGATTCCTCAGTCTGCTTTCGAACAGCCATAACTTTGTTAATATTAAGTTAACGATAATAGTACAAAACAAATCTCTTTGTTTTATAAGCTTCATTTTATATCCAGTTTTCTTGATAAAATCTAAATTTTTGTAGTTTAAATACATGCTTTTTTAATGTGTAATTTGTGAACTTTCAGTCACAAATAACTCAAACAATATTGACTTTGAAAAAACTCTCAAGAACATTTTTGTCTTAAAATTCACCATATTTTTTTGATAAAGTTTTTCCACCTCCGAGTTGGAGTGGTAATGGTAACTATTAACCATCCCCAGAGGAGAATTTGATGTTCGAGCAATTTTTAACTACTATAAAAATTTAAAGCAAATCGATACACATAAAAAAATTCAGAGGTTTTCTAGTATTTTTAGTCATATCCTGGACTATTAAAATATAATTATCCTTAAAAATAAAAAACGTGGAAGACATTCATGACATCGCTGTTAAAAAACAATAATAATAATAATAATAATAAAATCCACGTTTAAACCCCGGCCAGAAGGTGATATAAGATTTGATAATTTCGGACACCTTACACAAAGGGCCGATACCGCAATTGTGTTAATACCCAAGCACATAAATATAAAATGTATGAAATGTGACGTACATCTTTGTTTTGTGTCAAAACGAAATTGTTTTTAAGATTTCCATATGAGCAAGTAATCATTGTAATATTTTTTTTAATAAAATAAATCAGTACAGCCCTGGGTGTTCTCTCATTTTTCCACCTAATATTGGTTTAAAACACAGGTACTCAAATTGGTAATGTGTAATAACAACAATATGTAATACACACATATTGTTGGCTATCTTTTAATTATAATAAAATGGCTGTACAATAAAGATAATTTATCTTTATTGTACAGCACAGCCAGCAATTGACAGATTTCTACTGTTTACTGTTTTAATTTGCGAAAAATTCCTAAAATATAAAAAACTGACTAATTCCCATTACTTACTGTTCTGTTGCTGTCTGCTGAATTATTAAATTTTTCCCTAATCAGTGATAATTTAAAATTCCACGAGGAAACTAAGTTCCTGTAGCTGGCTGTATACCATATATCACAAAAAAATTTTGTTTAAAATCCTTTATAAAAGGTATATAAAAATGCCTCAAACGGGCTATCACAAACACATTGCAAAACGTTTTCGGATTAATAAACAATCCATCATCAGTGCAAACGGTTGTACATGCTAGTAGCCATCAAAATATATGGGTAAAAACCCTTTAAATGTTATAAATTTGAAGTTGTTTTACATTATTAGTATTTCTAATTTGTGATGGTTAAGTTACCCTTGGATAGGTAACATGGCGGCGTATGACTCTACTCTACTCTATGTACCTATCCAAGGTAACTTAACCATCACAAATTAGAAATACTAATAATGTAAAACAACTTCAAATTTATAACATTTAAAGGGTTTTTACCCATATATTTTGGTGGCTACTAGCATGTACAACCGTTTGCACTGATGATGGATTGTTTAATCTGAAAACGTTTTGCAATGTGTTTGATAGCCTGTTTGAGGCATTTTTATATACCTTTTATAAAGGATTTTAAACAAAATTTTTTTTTTAGTGATAGTTTGTTTTCTGTTTTGATATAGTCTAGAACAGTAGCAAGGGAAATTTTGGGTAACATGATAGAACTAAATACATTGTATAACTTAAGGGTTAGACCAGCTTAAGACTTCTAGACAGAATGTAATGTTTGTCTTAGTTTTCATGCAAACCACTTTAGTAGTGGTTATTTTAAATGTTTTAAGTTTGCCAGTTACTTATTCAAATTTTTTAATTTTTGTACTTGATGAATAGTCTACTTTGAACAACCATAACTCCTTTTGTTAATAATAAACTTAAATATGTTTAAGCTTTATCACATCCAAACAGTTTTCCCAATAAAACATCTTTTTTGACATGTAATTTGTGAATTTTCAGTACTCAATGAAACTAATCTACTCTATTTTCAACATCCTTATTTTTATCTCTGAATCATTAGTTGATTAATATTTTTGATAATTTTTATTAAAACTTTCATCCTTGAAACTTAATTTTTTCTAAAGCAATGATGAATATAGCATTTTTCAGATAAAAAAGCTTGCACATCATTCAAGATTTATGTCCTCAGAACCCCACAGCGTTGCCAAAACATTAGAATAGTTACTAAGTGAGGAATTTTTAAAATATCAACTATTATATTAACAGTAAATACACTTAGTTTTAAGACTACTGCAACACATTAAAATACATAATAAAACATTTTAATACAAAATTATATATTTTAAATTTTAAACTTACCTCTTAGGGCTTTAATAACAAAAACGTCACTCCATTATTTCTTGTTCAAAATATATATGAAAGCTTATCAGCTTTCTACAGACTATTTATTTGTTTTGACATATCACAATTAGTTTTTAAAGCTATTAATCTAAATTTAAAATGCATTTATAAATACAATTCATTAATATATAATATTATGATCAAATTGTGTAAGAAATTAAAACAAACAAAATTTCTACTCTAAAAAACCTGCAACACTTGATACACTTTTGCCACCCCCTGAACTGTTAATATTTGGATCAGTTGCATACAATTGTCTAATATATTTATTTTAAATTATTATTGTGGAATATTAGACTTCAAAAGTTATTTCATAAAATTTATATTAATAATAATAATAAATGTTTTTGGTTATTTAATCAATATAATTTTAAAATTTCCAATATACTTTTCTGATTATTACACCATGTTGACACCTATGAAAGATGGAGTAGTTCCATATGGGTTTTGTATTATTACATGTGTTAGGAAAATTTGCACTTGATGTTCTGGAAATTTTTAATATGAGTGACATCACTTTATATAAATCGTGACATGAAAGTGTTTTACTTTGAAAAATGGTATATACTCATTAGTAAACATATTTTTTAAAAGGTTTTAATTATAAACATGTAGGATTTGTAGATAAATAAAACAAAGTATACATATTTATATTTTATATATTTTTTTGGTTTTTTCACACCAATTAGGTCAATTTATAAAAAAATGCGATTGATGATCAAATTTTCCGTTTTTTCAATAGAATGTAACTTCACATCTTCTAAATCTCCATACGAAAATACTAGTAGAGATGAAGTTCCTGAAAAATAATACAAAAAATAAAATTATAGAAAAAAAAAACAATGAAATAGATTAGAACTGAGGCTACTAGTCATAATACACATAAAATTTGTACTACAATAATACAGAGAAAATTTGTACTACATAATAGAATCAGAACATTAAGATTGGAATATCAAAACACATGTTTTGCATAATTTGGAATACCCATACAGGGATCAACTGTTAACTGAGAAAACACTGAAAAATTACTTGTAACTAAATGAATTTTACAAAGATACAGATAATTGATACCATAAATTTCTTTTGGGAAATGATTATACTCTAATTGTAAATTAAATTTTATATCTTATAGACATATTAGAATGTTGTTTTATGCTCTTAGACTGCTCCTGTTAGGGTGTTCACAGTGCAGGTGGAAACATAAATTAATATACCCACATGAGATATGTTAATGTACTACAATGAGATGTACATTAATATCTTCAATGGGAACAATATGCTGAATTACACGTTTCACTTTTTACACAAATAAAAAATAAATTGGTCATTTGAAAAAATAATAGATTGTAAAAAAATAATTGTACATAATTAGGCATTTACTATTAAAATGCATTAGAAATAAAAATTTCCATTTATTCTGGCTTTACTGACAACTCGTTAGAATCTAAAAATTTTGTATATGTATTCTAATAAGCTATTCATAGGTAACAACATAAGATATAGCAGTCTCTAGTCACTTATATGCCAAATAGATCTACATAAGGTTTTCTGTCATGAAATGTGGCAAGGAAATATGTTAAAAAATAAACAGAAAATAAAAAATTACATAGTATAAATATTCGGATGAACATGTATTGAAAATAACAATAGGAATAATAATTGAAAAAGGGTTATTAGAAGACTGCACAAATAGTGATTTAAAGAAACCATGTGCTACTTGGTACACAACATATTAAGCAAGTTACAACTCAGGGACTACACTTGAGAAATTAGTGTGGAGTATCTTCTGATCCATAACATTTAACTTATCCATAAGCCAAATATGAATGATTCCATTATTTGACTTGGTCTAGACGAACACCATTTCTAAACTAAAAATTAATACTAGATTAGACTTACCAAAGATTTACTTAGATCTTGCACGCATCTTCCTGCGCTTACGCTTTAGCCTTCGCATACGCTTCTTACGCCACTAAAAAGAAAAAATTTAGTTAATACAAAGAAAAAGGCAAAAGGATTTTAATGCAATGAAAAGAAAACATAACCTTTCGGTGAATTGAAATACTGTATTGTGCTCTTAGACTGCTCGTGCTAGAAGTATCACACAGCAGGTGGAAACACAACTAAATAATATATCCCTCAGTTGAATATTAATACACTAAATAAAATGTATATCAAATTCTCCTAAGGGTAATAACTTTCAAATTAACATGGGAATACGTAAAAGGAATAAGGTAAGAATTTGGAAATATAAAAAACACGTTTTATAACAGTTGAAATGTGAAATGAGGTTAAACACGTTTTGAAAAACTTCATGGAAAACAAAAGTTTCTATCAAACGTTATTTAATTTATTTTACTATCTATTATTTACAGTAAATTAATATTATTAAAACTTAAAAAAACACTAAACTTTTTCAAAATTGAAATACAAAAATCTTCCAATAAACATCAAAAGGTATCCAATATATAAATCTTGATAACTATAAAAAAAAATAGAAACATAAAAATATAAAGATGTTCTTACCTTCGCTCGCATTTTGGTTCTATTAAAAGAGGTCTAGCTTCAAAAAGCTAGATGATTCTTTTAATAAAAACGAATTTGTACGTGCTATACGGCTACGACACAAAACTAAAATGGAAGAGGCAAAATTTTTTTGACGGGACGGGAACTAGATATACAATTACCAACCAAAAAAACACTGTCAGACTAGCAGTAACACCAACATAACTTAAAAATACGTTTAATTAAAATAAATATTTTGTACTTGGTCTTTTTTATAATACAAATCACGCAAATGTTTTATAACCATTCTAAAAAGTATATTAATTAACTATGTAGTTTTGTATCCTAAATAGTAGATTTATCTATTATTATACATGCGATAATTATGTTGGATAACTTATAATATCGAGACCTTACATTACACGTGTGATCATGACATGTCACTGTCAATCAAATGAGCGGGCGGGAAAACATAAGTAAAAATTCATAGATTTTGTTTTGCAATAGGTTCTAAAAAAATTTCGTGTCATCAAAATATATTTTTTATAGGTCAAATGAAATAATACGTGTCTCTTAATACGTCTTACGCTAAGTGATAAACATGAATACTCGCTCATCTGCAAGATTATCTTTAAAAAATAAAGGACAATCATTTAGAGAGCTTCAACAATTTTTAAATTATTTAAGTGATTCCAGCTCTGACGATGAAAGTGACGATGGTTTATGTTGTGAGTCCCTATCAACTCCAAGAAAAACAAAATCAAAAGCAAAGTATGACGATAGTGGAACACCTCCAAAGCAAAAGAAATTAGAAGCCAAAAGTCCAAATAATAAATCTACTGTTAGATCTACTACGAATACTCCTTCGATTCAAAGATTAGCTATTACAAGCCCAAAGAAACCAAAGTCAACAAGAAAAAGCCTTTTTAAAGAAAATGACACAAAGAAATCTGCACAAAATAAGGTAAATATAATAAAATGATACCAAATATTGTTAATAAACAGATTATCCTCATAAAACTTTCTAATAGTCGATGGGATATATGAAAAAGCTACTTAAACCCCAAAAATATAAATTATAAGATAAAGAAATTATTTTTTGTATGCTTAATTTAACTGCTTTTGGTTTACTCTGCCAGGTAAAAAATGTAAAGTTCTCGAATATTGTTATATTTCATAGATTATGTAATTATAGTTTGTTTTTTTTTTAGAAAATAGAACCTATTTTAATAAATTCAGATTCTGAATGCACTAGTGAAGATGAGGAACCTTCAAAAGAAATACCAAAGAATATAAATGCATATCAGTCTGCTAGACAGGCACTGCATGGAACAGCTCCTACTGAAATGCCAGGTAGGGAAAAGGAGTTAAAGGAGCTTAGACAATTTATTGACAAGCACATCAAGAATCAAACTTCAGGTTCACTTTATGTAAGTGGACCACCAGGAACTGGGAAAACTGCATCTCTAAATATTATTCTACAAGAGAAAAATGTGAGTTCTTATAGTAAATTTATAGTAAAATTAATATGCTTATTAGTATCTAATACTCTTAAAATACATTATCAAATATAATATTAATGCCCTGAAAAATTAGGCTAGATGAATATACAGTATGTAATGTTTTAGATTAGAAATTGCAAACTACATAAAGCTCTAAAATCAGCAGCAGTGTCTTGTAAGAGGTAATTGTAATTCCCAGTTTCCTCTGACACTATGATAGAAAATCATTTAGTAGCATGTAACAACAAATATTATGCACATCTCCATCATTTGAATTTGATGTTTGTTTTCAATACACATGCTCGGTTCATTTATTAGACTACATAAACTATAAACTCGACAAAATACACTGACACTTCTTGAGCTTGACATTTTCTGCAATTTTTAAGACAATAAAAACTCTTAAAATTTTTAACAATATTATGAATTTTCTGTATGCAAGAAATTGGTCTTCTCTCAAAGAAACACAGAAAGTAAATCAACACACTTTTGTCCAGAATTACCACCATAAAACCATTTTATTATTTGAACTTTTTCTGGGGGCTTATAAACAAGATGTTGTTTAGAAAAATTAAATATATATATATATATATATATATATATATATATATATATATATAATATAAAATTAATGTTTCTTGGGTTTAGGTTCAAATAAAGATATTACATGTGGAACTAGATTTTATTTTCCATTGCAATCAATCAACGTTTCGGCAGGAAACCCTTGCCTTTGTCAAGATTCAAAACGTAACGTCCAGTTCGTTAATGTCTGTGTCACGTTTTACGTTTTGAATCTTGACAAAGGCAAGGGTTTCCTGCCGAAACGTTGATTGATTGCAATGGAAAATAAAATCTAGTTCCACATGTAATATCTTTATTTGAACCTAAACCCAAGAAACATTAATTTTATATTAAATATAATATGGTTCAGGAAATTCAAAACTACTATATATATATATATATATATATATATATATATATATATATATATATATATATATGCTGTTAACACTTTAAACAACCACTGTAAAACAAATTATTGGCGACAGGTCAACAAAGCAGGTTTGTAGAAAGTTGACAGTGCATGCAGTGTTGCCAATTATAGGGTGTCTATCTAATTTAAAACTTAACATACTGTATCAACACACACTGCAGAAATTGTAACTTTCTCAAGAATTAGAAGTTTTATAAGAAATCATAAAAAAAATTTAAATCGCTATTATTATTTGACTAAATTTTTGTTGACTGTGAATGGGTTAATTTGTAAATGAAAACAAAAGACACCTAGTAATCTATTGATCAAAAAGGGAGCTAATATCTTTTAAACATAAAAAATCTTTCCTTAATAGATAACATCATGTTTAATGTTTATGAACAGCGAAACTCCTTACCATAGTTCTAGAATGATATAAAATGTACTCTTCTACTGCATTTGACTTGATTAACTTTAAAATTTATTTTTTTTAGTTGGTCCCCAATGTAGACCATGTATATGTCAACTGTACTGCTATTAAATCTCCTACAGCCATTTACTCACGAATTTGTAAAGAATTAAATATCAAAGTAGATGGTAGAAGTGAAAAAGACCACCTGCTTCAAATTGATAAATATTTGAAGAAAAAACACAAAACAATGTAAGTATTTATACTGCTAGGTGTCACCTAATTTCAACAATTGAGGGTACATTGTTTATTTCAGAGTCTTGTTGTTTCTTTGGGCCTGTATTGCCTTTTGACTTCAAGAGTGGTATTCAGACTGTATCTTTATTCTTTCTTACCATATGTTTCAAGTCCAAAAGCTGCCAATTTCCTGGAGTTCCTAGCAGAGGTTACAAGTTTGATTTTACTTATGTTCCTTTGCTATTGGACTGCTAAATAAACTTGTTCCACATTCATATCACCCTCTTATATTTCAGAGGTATTTATATGATTTTGTATATAGTTACTTGGTTGATATAAAACTTGGTTCCAATTTCTGAAACTTATTTTTTTCTTTTTTGTTTTTGACATTTGATTTTTGATTTTTCTTTGTGTAATTATTTCACATATTTCTTGCATGCTTTTCTTGTATGGCTCATTTACATTATTCATCCATATCCATCTCTTTTTATTATTTTTTTCTAGTGTTTTTTTTTACTACATTTAATAATATTGTTTTTAATTTGCCCCAATATTCTTCATTATGTGGTTTGACTGTTAATAATACAAACACTGACTGTTATCAGTGTTTGTATTATTTATGTCTTGTAATTCTGCTTAATATTTTCTTGGTTAAACTTTTCAATGTCTAGTGAGAGTCTATTTGAGTTCTGTTATTGTGTCCATCTGTATGTGTTTTTCAAGATCCTGCAACAAGATTTTGTTAGCATCAATAAGTGATCATTTACACAATAAGCTCATCTTCAGGTTTTTCATATAAGATGTTTTGTGACAGCCTTTTTGTCTGACAATACCTAATCATTTTAATTGATTGGGAATTTTTCCACAATAATTATAGTCATAATATTACTTTGTTTAGTATATATCCAGGTGTGCACAGAACCTGATGTAACCCAAACCAATCTCTTCAGAGTCTGAACCAAATGGTATATATTCTTTTGTAACTCCTGCCTTTTCATATTTAGTCCATTTTGAGTATCTTGATATATTATGATAAATATTAAGATGTTATACTATTATATTATGCATATTATGATAAAATTTTATCGCTATGGTAAATTCACAATTTTAAAAGAAACTTTTTGTTTCAGTTTATTGGTACTGGACGAAATTGACCAATTGGAAAGCAAAAATCAATCAATCCTGTACACAATTTTTGAATGGCCCTCGAAACCAAATGCTCATATTTTGTTAATAGGAATAGCAAATGCTCTTGATTTGACTGACAGAATACTTCCTAGACTACAAGCTCGCTGTGAACTTAAACCTACTCTAATGCATTTTGCTCCATACACCAAACCTCAAATTATTGAAATTTTTACCTCACGACTGAGAGCAGCTAATGTGTTGGACATTTTCTCACCGGCAGCAGTGCAGATGTTGGCTGGTAAGATAGCAGCGGTTTCTGGAGATATTAGAAGGGCATTGGATATAGGAAGAAGAGTTGTAGAATTAGCAGAACGAAGCAGGAAAACGGGTGCTTTGAAATCAGTAGAAAATCTTGCCAATCAATTGGTTGATGAAGAAACTAAGACTGTAGACCTGAAACAAGTATTAACTGTTTTGAATAGTGTATATGGCACCTCCCAGAATCTAGACGATCATACCGAAGACTCTTTTCCACTTCAACAAAAGATTATTATCTGCTCATTACTCTTAATGCTAAAAAAGAATAAAAGCAAAGATGTTACGATAGGAAAATTACATGAAGTTTATTGTAGAGTTTGTAAAAAGCGAAAAATTGGTTCTGTGGATCAAACTGAATTAGTTGGATTGTGCTCATTAATAGAATCCAAGGGTATAATAACTGTAAGTGGAAAAAAAGAACCGAGGTTAAATAAAGTCAGTATGGTATGGGATCAAGACGAAGTCACAAATGCTTTAAAAGATAAACAGTTAATTTCAGATATTTTACAAGACGAATCTTGTTTGGGAAAATTTTAAATTATTTTATAAATTTACTGAGTTTTAAGACTGGAAGTCATTGTACAATTGTTTGAACATATGAGAGCGACAGTTTTTAAATTTTATTCTTTTATTTGATTCGTTTTAAGTAAGAGATTGTGAGTTCAAATCCTGTAATGGATCATTTTCGTTTATAATTTCTTATGGGATCTGCGATCCAAGCCAATAACACATTATATATTAATGTATATTATTTCCTATGGAGTTATTTGCAGCTTTCTGAGATCCAAAACTTTAGGACTTCTAATAAATGTTTGTCAGTAAATTGAAGGTCTTACAAAATCAGATCCTATATTTTTGGTATAATTGCTGATGCTAAAGCATTTTTTTGCTAAAGCTAAAAACACGGGACAATTTTAGTGCATATCTTAAATCCTGAATAAATTTTATTTTTTATAGAAATTAAGATGTGAAGCTACTAAATGGTAATTGACCACAATGTACTAATTTGTGTTTTGAGAAAATCTGGTGATAAAATTGTCTAATGAAATAGTTTCACGATGGTGGTTTACTCCTACACTTTTTTTTTTCATTGTCTTGACATTGTCATTTTAGACATTGCCTTAAAATATTTTAAAAGGAACTTTCTGTAAGTTTTCTTTTTGAAAAACTTAGCTCCTGTGTAGTTAAAAATAATTGGCATAATATTTTCCATTTTCAGTTTTAAAAGAAAAATTTGAAGTATATTTAAGTATTGCTGTAAATATATTTTTATTGAACTTATTTATTTTACAAATGTAATTTTTTAATAAAAGTGATTTTAAAAAACAGAAGTTTTCAATTCTTATGACCATGAAATGGCACAGTCTACATTTATTAAGTTGAGATCCTTGCTGTGCTGCAGTGATCTCAGTTTGGGAACCAAGATGCGGACAGTGAGGTGCTACGTTCTTCCAGTGTTACTATATGGAGTTGAAGCCTGGACACTGACGCAAGCCACTGAAAAACGAATCGAAGCCTTCGAGATGTGGATATACAGAAGGATACTAAAAATATCTTATGTGGACCATGTCACCAACGTTGAGGTCCTACAGCGCATGACAAAAGAAAAAGAAGTGCTTAATTTAATTAAACAACGTAAGCTTGAATACCTCGGCCAGGTGATGCGGAACGAAGAAAAATATCGAATTCTTCAACTCGTTATACAGGGTAAAGTATTTGGCAGAAGAGGACCGGGACGCCGTCGTATCTCGTGGTTGAAAAATCTCCGACAATGGTTTGGTATGACCTCAGCGGAGCTGTTTCGCAGAGCAGTCAACAAAACCTTGATGATCGCCAACATCCGGACTGGATAAGGCACTGAAGAAGAAGATGACCATAAAATCATGGATAATGAGTTGATAGAAAAGGGATTTCACAGGATAGATTTGCTCCGTACCTGATTTTCTCTTTCTGAAATGAAAGTGAATATTTCCTAACATAAACTCGAATAAAGGTAAAAAAAGTTTAACTGATTTTACTCCCGGGAAATACGGAAATTTAATCGTAAATCGCACTTTGCAAAAGATATTTATTTGACCGAGTTATTTCGTTAATATATTATACCTCAACCTATACGTTTTCTGCAGGAAGATTCCAATCCAAAGTTCTTCGTGATGTCTGCAATGTCGTGCCAAACGATGTTATTCATCATGACTTGAATGTTGAAACTGTTAGAGAAGCAACCGCCCATGGACGTTTATACGTCCATGCAACCGCCACTCAGTGTACAAACTATAAGAGACTATCATCTCATCCAAATTCACTTGCCAACGCCAACAACCTCCTGACGCTACCACTGCTTAGAAGACTTAAAAGGTTGGATCCTCCCGATCTCTCCACCGTTAGCAACTAGATAGAACTAGATTACTTATTTGTATTAAAGTCAAAAATTTGGTAATGTAAACTAAATATGTATAAAGGGTACTCCCACTGAGTATAGCTCCCTTTGTGCCCTTTTTCCTGTCTTCCAAACTTATTGTTATATTGATTGCAATAAATAAAGAAAATTAAAAAAAAAATAACCAAAGATGGGTTTGCAAAGTTAGTGTTATTTTTAACTTATTAACAATTGGAATACCTTTTAAGCCTTTCATACGCAGTGGGGAGTATAATTCCCACCATATAATATCACGTCTGCATGCAGTGTACACCGATTTTAAAAACCGTTTTAGGCTGCTGCCGCCTAGTAGTGATATCAGTAAGCCTATAAAAAATACCCTAGCCCATCCTACAATCCTTCTACCAACCCGCACAGGCCAGCGTGGTAGAGAAACGGCCAGGAACCCCGTAAAATGAGAAAGGAAGAAAATGCAAGGCCCTCAGTCTCCGGCAGTCCCTTGAAAACAGGCTATGGTAGCAGTCCTGTAGTTAGAGGGACAGAGGGTGCTAAGAATCACCGGAGTCAACCAGGCTACCTTCATAAACGACAACGGCAAAGAATATGGTTTATGGCAACATACAACACAAGAACATTGATGGAGGACGAAAAACTAGTTGAACTGGAAAACGAGCTGAATCATATAAAATGGGATATACTTGGATTGTCCGGAAGTACGGCGAAAGGGTGAAGAACAAATGGTACTTCCGTCGGGAAACCTATTGCATTATCTAGGAGAGTCTTCCAATGGTGGCGTAGGATTTATGGTAAATAAAAAACACACAAAGAATATACTCACAATTAAAAGCATAAGTGATAGAGTTATATATCTTATCTACAAAGTAAACGAAAAAATTCGGTTAAAGATCATCCAGGTATATGCACCTACTAGTACCCATACAGATGAAGAAGTAGAATGGTTCTACGATGACGTTAACACTGCCATACAAGAGACAAACACCAACTTTACTATACTGATGGGAGACCTAAACGCCAAAATAGGCCACAAGCAAGATGATTCGGAGTTTGTAATTGGACCTCACGGATATGGCGATAGAAACGAAAGGGGTCAAACTCTCATAGAATTTCTTCTGCAACACAGGCTATATGTCATGAATACGCACTTTAAAAAAAGCGACCAAAGAAAGTGGACTTGGCAATCACCAAATGGTTTAAACAAGAACGAAATTGATTTTATATTTACTAACAAAAAAGACGCTGTTCAAGACGTAACTGTATTAAATCAATTTTCAACTGGAAGTGACCATAGAATGGTTAGGGCGAAGATAGTCTTAAACATACAGAAGGAAAGAAGACATATGGTAACAAGGACTAATAATGTTACATTCACTGCGATTACTAACACCAGGGCATACCAGGAAGAAATAGAGAGTAATCTACAGAAAGACCTGCAAGATGAAACCAGTATTGAACAGCTTAACGAAAAATTGGTAGAAGCCCTGAAGAAGTCACAGAAGAAGTGCCAAGCCAAGCACTCAACAAAAAATGAAAAATTCACAGAAGACACAAGAAACCTAATGCAAAAAAGAAGGGAAATGAAAGAAAAGCATACAACGAACATTGCAGAGCTAAGGAATTTAAACAAAACCATTTCAAAAGCCATTAGGAAAGACATAAGGAACTTTAACACTAAGGAAATAACTGATACCGTAGAACAAAACAAAAGCCTAAAAGTTCTAAAACGAAAGTTGAAAATAGGAACGAGGAATATTTATAAGTTAAAAAATAATCAAGGACATGTCATACATGAACAACAAGAGATACTAAAAATCATCGAAGAGTACTATAGAACATTATATAGTCGAGATGATCACATTCCCGAAGTAGAAATTCCAGCAATACTAAATCAAGGGTCAGAGGAACTTCCAGATATAACCGAAGAGGAAATTAAGTCAGCATTAAAAGGTATGAAGAACAACAAAACACCTGGAGAAGATGGCATTGTAAGTGAAATGATAAAACTAGGAGGCGAATGCGTCATAAAGGCTTTAAAAACCCTTTATAATGCCTGCCTCTTTGAAGGAAATACGCCAGAAAAATGGAATAATGCCATTATGATAATATTGCATAAAAAAGGAGATGTAACAGAAATTGGCAACTACAGACCTATCAACTTATTATCTCATTTATATAAATTCTTTATGAGAATAATTACTAACAGACTGGGACCTAAGCTAGATTTTCATCAACCTCTAGAGCAGGCCGGATTTAGGAGTGGCTTTGGAACAAATGACCACCTACAAGTAATAAAATCCTTGATAGAGAAAGTTATAGAATACAACAAGCCATTGATATTAATATTTGTAGACTTTGAGAAAGCATTTGACTCAGTCCAGCATAGCTCCATGTTAAGAGCTCTTACAGAGTGCAGTATTGACCATAGGTACAAAACTCTTCTGCGAAATATATATGATAGCGCAACAGCTGCTGTAAAAATGTACTATGGTGACACAGACACATTTCCCTTGGAGAAAGGTATTAGGCAAGGAGACACTATCTCTCCTAAACTATTCACCGCCCTATTACAGAGTGCTATGAGAAAAAATAATTGGGAAAATATTGGATTAAATATAAATGGGGAATTTTTGAACAACTTGAGGTTTTCAGACGACATAGTCCTTATTGCAGATCAGGTAGATCATGCATGCCAACTTCTTCAAGACCTTCAGAGCTCTTGTGCACGAGTTGGCCTTAAAATTAATTTTTCCAAAACACAATACATGACCAACCTGGTACTGGCAGAAAACATTTCCACTAATGGCACGCAAATTGAACAAGTGTATTCCTATAAGTATCTGGGCCACGAGATTAAATTGGGAAGAGACAATCAAACAACAGAGCTAAAAAGGAGAATAGGACTGGCATGGGCAGCTTACGGAAAACTGAGGAAAGTCTTTAAATCAGCTATTCCCATGTGCTTGAAGAGAAAAGTTTTTGATCATTGTGTACTTCCAGTTCTGACATATGGAGCAGAAACATTGACACTTACCAGAAAAGTAATTAATAAGATACAAGTGGCATAGAGAGCGATGGAGAGGTCAATGTTGGGCGTATCACTCAGGGACAGAGTTTCGAGTCAGATAGTAAGGAGAAAAACTGGTGTGACGGACGCAGTTGAAAGAATTACAACCCTGAAATGGAACTGGGCAGGACATGTTGCTAGGGTCAGAGATGGAAGATGGACAAAGAAAATTTTAGAGTGGAGGCCTAGACACGATGCTTATCGTAGTCGAGGACGTCCTCCAAGAAGGTGGTCGGACGATTTAAAGCGCATCCAGTCTAACTGGATTCAAGTTGCTCAAGATCGGATGCAATGGAATTATTTACGGGAGGCCTATGTTCAGCAGTGGACGCAAAATGGCTAATGATGATGATAAAAAATACTTTGAAGCTGAGGTGCAGATATTTACATTATTCATACTTACGTTTGAATATACGTTGTTTTGACGGTTTTTTTTTTCTGCGGTTATGTTCTAGTGTATAAATAATTGTTTCCACAAAAATTAAGGTGAGTGTTAAGGATTTAAATATTATTTTTTATCCTTTTGATTTTTATACAGACATTTATATAAGAACAATGATAATAGAACGTATTTGACGTATGCTAAATCTATATTTGTAAGTGGGTTATATACTTCCCACCGCCCATCCTCGTTCATTTTTATTTTGTAAATGTGGGATCTAGATAACCCCAGAGATGCTGAGACTGCATTAGCATTTATATTCTTTACCTGACAATCAGGAACTTTCAGAAGAAGCAAATGAAGGGGCTTTCGAAGCATTTGAAAATTTGGAAGAGCACTGTTCAGATTCTTCTAGTGTAAATACAGCCTGTTTGGAATCTTCATATGCTCAATATTCAGGTAATTTTTCCTTCCCTACATCTCCGTTATATTTTCAACCATCTGTATAGGAAGATAGTGAAGATGAAGAAAGTGATATGGATTGGGATCAAAACACAAATTTTTTTGATAACCTTGCACTTGATTTTTCTAAAGATGCCAATTCTGTATACGATTTTAATATTGAAGACAAAAAAATCGATTATTTCACTAAAATGTTTGATTTAGATATTCTTGATACGAATGTTTATCAGACTAATATATATGCAAATCAGAATTGGTCTAGAAGGGCTAATAAGACAAATCAACCCGATCCATCTAATAATTGGTAAGATACAAATCTGTAGATTTTGGAGTAATGATTATAATGGAAATGCATACCTACACTTCCTCAGCTTTCCAATTACTGGACCATTGATCCATTTTTAGGCACATCAGCATTTTTGCAAGTATTTGGATCTAAGAGATACAAAAAACAAATTGAAAATTTACACCTAAACAATAATGAAAATGCAGTGCCTCGAGGAAAACCTGGATATGACAAACTGAATAAGGTGAGATCACTTGTGGAATAACTAAACATTACAATCCAATTTACGTATAACCACTCATAATACATGCCCATGAAACCTGTCAAAAGAGGCTATAAATTATTGTGTTTCTTAATTACAGCCTATATATATATATACAAATTCCATATTTACACTGGAAAGTCGGCAGACGTTGACGGAGCAAAAAACCTAGGTGAAAAAGTTATTATTAACCTTACGAACTGTCTAAATAACAAAAAAACCCTTTGATGATTTCTTTACATCTTTTCCTCTTATGACAAAGTTATTAAGTATATATTATATATCTTATTAAAGTATATTAAGATTGCTGTTGATACGGTGAGATCACTCAGAAAGGATTACCAGATATATGGTATAAAAGTATTATGCTTATTACAAGGCAAATGATAGCTGCAATATAGTGAATGGATAATAAACTTTGTTGTATCTCTTTTAGCGAACCTACATAATTCAGCCCGCTATCAACTTTCGGTAGAAGACACATAAAGAAGTTTCTTTTACTATCGTAACGAACTATGCTGGAATATTAAACTCTTTCAGTATCTGGATCCGAAATTTTCTATTGATGGTATCATAGGCACTCTCAAAAACCTGTAGGATCGGAATTTTCTATGGCGGTTTATTCCGTTAGCCCATTTTTTTTCAGTTTCAAGGCACCGTAGACTCACCTTGCACCTTCTTTCGTTAGAGTTTTGCTGTAACATGGTTATCGGCAAAATATCTTACCTTAAAGAAATTACAAGAGTGGTTAAAGGAATAATATGAAGATTCCTTTGGTTAACAAAGATCTTTCAAGAACGATTAAAGTAGGTACTAATCACCAGTAGTGTAGACACAGAAACATTTTAATTCTAGTCGGCAAACAAATAAATAAGTAGTGACGAGATGAATGATAACATATTCGGTTTTATATTGGTTTAAGGCAAGAGAAGCTTATTTTTCGTTAAAAATCTTTGAAACCAAAAGTTCAAAAGCTCTATAATTATACACAGGATATTTTCATGTTTTGTTGATTACGTTCGACAATGATGTTTAACACAGCTTAATGATAAAAATACTACTGGAGGTCTGAATAGATATCAAGAACATACGGGATTGATTTGTTATGGTTAAAAAAATAGACGCACTTAATATAACTTGTTTTATTAAAAGAAAAACAAACAAAAATAAAAACTAGTTCACACAATACAGTCTTATATTCAAGTACATCACTACACTTAAAAATACTAAAAACATAAAAAAATAATAAAACTATACTAAATAAAAAAATTACATTTTAGATTTCTTAAGAGGCTTTTTCTCTTCCTTCTTTTGTTCCAGTTGTTTAACGGGTTTATTTGTCTGGATAATGGGGATGGTTCTATGCTCCAATTTATCACCCGATTTTGGCGCACTTAAGGTCAACACTCCATCTGAAGACAATTGCGACTGTAACTGCTTGATATCATAGGATTCCGGGATTGTGTATTTTCTTACAAAATGTCTGTAAATTTGACCATGCTCATCTTGTTTTTCTTCGTGTTCGGCTTCAACGGTGACTGTATTATTGGCGAACTTCACTTGGATCTCTTCAGGTTTAAAATGCTGAACATCTACATTTACTTGAAATTTATTTTTATCGTAGACAACATCATCAGTTAAACTTGTGCAAAAGTTTCCAAAGGTTTCCGGAAATGACATCAAATTTCTTGGTGGTAATATCATAGGTACAAAAAAGTCCCGGTTCCATTCTCGATCAAACAGTACTGGTCTACTCCAGTTATCAAAAGGAATAAGAGACATTTTTCACTTTTCAACACTAGATGTAGAACAATAAACGTTTTGTTACTTCCGAAAAATTAAAACTTTTCTTTTTCACTTCGATAACACTGTTAATAATTTTAAAACTGATGTTGTGGCGCGTTTGTTCTCTTTATATATTTGTTATTTAATGAACCCGAAAATTCTGGATGTTGTGTTTAAACAGAAACACAAAACAAACACGAACATTCGCGACTTATATTCGTTCACTTTTACGCGACTAGACTAGACTTTGCTGTATGACATTGGAAAATTCCAGAGGATATTATGCTATTTTCATTTCTAATACATTAAATAATATGTGAAAATTTTTAACATGAATAGAAAAATTTTTTTAATGGTTTTTAACGTGAAAATGTTATATATATTTAAATCAATAATTTGATTCGTTCTTGATTGGTAACATTTGAATTTTATATTTTCCGACAAACTGTCAAACTCAAAATATCAAAACTATAACCCTAACCCCACATTTAAGATTTGGTCAACCGTTAATGATAAATGATATTATTATAATTCCGAAATTATAAATATATTAAATCAAAATGATGAGAAATTTGCATGATTTTGAACTTCCCCTGGATGGAGAAGTGACCTTGTGTCAAATAAACGGTCGAGTATTTTCTAGAAATTACGATATAACAAATTTAAACGGCTTTACAACTACAGTGAGTTTTACGGTTTTACCATAAAATAGTTTACATTTTAACGTAACAAATTTTTTTAGTTAGAAAATTATCCTAAAGTTCACTTGACGAGAGATTTACTGCATCCTACAACTTCAGGAGATGAAGGCAAAGCTTTATTTTTACCAGTTAATATTTCTTTCCTCAAACAGTTGTCCCAAGTATATTATGAACAAGGATATATGGAAGCCCTACAAACAGCAGCATCCTACAACCATGTATTCGTCTCAAAATCCGCAAAGGGCCTTTTAGATATATTGAAATATATTAAAAAAGTTAGAGTGATATTAAATCCAAATTTACGGCACAGTGGCTCTAGTTTAATAGCTAACTATTCACAAACACGAAATTGGCTAAATACAACTGTTAGATGCATTGCTTGGCATCCGTACTGCAAAAAAGTAGCTGTAGGAATGTGTGATGATAGTGTAAGGATCTTCAATGGTGATCCTAATGCGATTTCCTCAATCTTGAGGTGCAAGATGCAGAAACATATAACTTGTGTTGCTTGGAGACCAATGTCAAATACTGAGATCGCTGTAGGCTATGAAAATGGAATCATTGTGTGGCATATAGATCCAAATTCAATGGTAAGGTGAATTGGTATTATAAGAGCAATGTGCTACATATTCTTATTTGTTTATTTAATTTTGTGGCATATAAATGAAATAATAGAGTAAGTTACCTTATTTAACTTTAAATACAACCTTCAAAACAGTATTTTTGCTACAGCTATGGTATGATAAGTGATGAAAAAAGGGTGAGTTGCAAAACAAATTTATACTCTCCAAATTTTAAAATAGTATAAGATAATTATAACGATATATAAAATAAAAAAATCATCATCAAATATGTAAAATCGTGATTTATAGCAAAAGTAGTGAACTATAATAGTTCTTTAGGAGGCTAGGACTTACGCAGGGCTGTAAAGCCAGAATATTGATGACAATTAAACTAGTAATTCACTAAAAGGCAAAGAAATTAACATAATTAGCAAGAATGAAAGATTGAAAATTACAAGACCAGTATCCACATATGGATTTATATGTTCAATAATCACATTAATGCACAATGATAAACTTGTTTCGGCGGTGCCATGTTTTATTTGACTGTCATTTGTTTTTCTTTGTAGTCGAGAATTTGTTATGCGAACAGTTATTTTTGTTTTATTCATGTTTACAGATCTCCCGACCCTCTATTAGTAATGCAATTATTTTACAAAGGGCTGACCATAGACCTGTAATGAGTATAGCTTGGTCTCCCAAAGGGGACAAGCTAGTATCTGTAGCAGCATGTGACCAGTCTATTTTAGTATGGGATGTAGAATTAGATAAAACTAGTACTCTTAAGAGGTCAGGGGGTTCAGGAAACCTGCTTGTGAAATGGTCACCTACAGGAGAAAAGTTGTTTACTTGTTCCAATAGTCTTGTTTTTAGGTATGTATATACAAGTCTAATATAAGTTGAGTATTACATTATAATTTATTTACAGTCTTTATTTGCAGTTATATTAATATTTTTAATTTATTTACACTAACACTAAAATCTCAAATCTAAATTATTCCCTATAAATAGTGTATGCCTATGCCTCTTGATATCTCCAGATCCTTGTTTAGAACAACTAGAACAACAAAACAGCAAACAACATTGCAAAATCTCTACCTGGGACTCAACTATGTGAAACCCTTGACCAGACAGTCTCGACAATATCAGTGAAAACATTCTTTTACTTGTATAGCATAGAACAGTGGTCGGCAACCACACTACAGAAAAGAGCTACTACCATGTCATAAACAAGGTAGAGCCAAAGATCTACCTTGTTTATGACATGAGTCCAATGTTCATCCGTTAGTTGGCTTCTGTATTTGTTTTTAATGAACTTCATGTTTGAAAACGTTGATTCACAAAGGTAAGTGGAACAAAACAGGGCACTAATTTTCAAAGCTACATTGACTAGGATTGGGTATTTCTGTTTAGACACTAGACACCAAAAATTTTCTTTTCCGACAATGCTCTTCAAACAAATCATTCTGCAGCCTGACTATTTATAATTCAGTCTCTGATCTGAATCTGAATCAAACTGAACAATTGCTTCAATTTTGCTGAAGTCACTAAATCGGGTATCAAATTCATGCCTGTCTGGTCAACATTTCTATATGCCCCTCTCCTGTGTAAGGTTCAACATTTACTACTTCTTTTTCGATTACTTCTTTTAAACAAGGAAAATATTTTACATTTCCTTCCAGTAGATTTTTTCCCATAGTTCAAATTTCGCAATGAATGACTTTACTTCGGAAATCATTTGAAGAATACTTTTTTCTTTACCCTAAAGCTGCAAATTTAGTTCATTCAGCTTTCCTGTGACATCGGTCAAGAATCCAAAATCTCTCAACCATGCGGGTTCTTCTAATGTTGAGTAGTCTTCTTTACGCTCCTTAAGAAAAGCGATTAAAGCTGGTAGGAGCTCATAAAAGCGCCGAAGAATCTTCCCCTTGCTTAACCAGCGTATCTCTGTATTCAGAAGCAATTCTCCTTATTCTAGATTCATTTCTGCAATTAGAGTTCGAAACTGTCTTTTCTGCAAAGCATGAACTCTTACTTGGTTTACAAGTTTAACAACGACTTTCATAACATTGTCGGCATTTAAAAATTTACCATAAAGTGTACCATCGTTGTAAGTCCGTCTTCATCCGGGAAACAACATTTTCTCACATATTTTCCACTCGTCTAGTTACGGTTCGCGCTGAAAGCTGGAGGGAGTTTATAGCCGACATTATTTCGTATTTATTTTTAAAACCTTCAAATAGGCAGTTTGCAGCTTCTACAAGACATTCCTTGATGTACTCGCCATCTTCAAAGAGTTTCTTCTTTTTGGCAATAACTTGAGACACTTTGTAAGAAGCTAGAGTGATGGCTTTAATTTTATCGCTGACTTGTAATAATACAGACTGCTGCCTAACTAATTGATTTTTCAACTGTTTCACTTTATCTTTTCGGATGCTACTATTGGCGCGATAGTATGTGTTTATTTTCGGATGAGTCTATTAAAATGTCTTTCGACATTACCTTTTTTTCCAACTGCGATACTTGCGTGGCACAATAGACATACACAGTTGCCTTTCACTTGAGTAAAAAATAATCGTCTTCCCACTCTATATGAAAGTGATAAACTTTTGTTTTCTTTTAAGGATTCATTTTTATAAATAATGGGTTCACGTCACGACTAACAAATAATAGTAACTAAGACGATAAGCACGTTTAGGCGACAACCGCTAGTGAAGACTAAGAATTGCGCAACTGTGGTAAAGATAAGTATTTTCAGCCCCGGCACGTTTTAGCGATATCGAGACGGCCGGGTACATCGCACGCAGTGTTGCCAATAATTTTCGGATTGAACAATTTTTTGGATAATTTCGGATAATTCAAGGATCTATATCTACTTTATATATGTTTATATATGTTATATTTTTTATTTTATTCGATTCGCACGACGAGCGACTCGAACTAAGGTTAAGATCGACTGGTCGATCGCGATCGACGTGTTGCCGACCCCTGTCATAGAAGGTCAGAAAACATTGAACACTGCGCTAATGTTGAGAGACAGGTAGCATAACAATACAATTCATGGATGAACAGAAAATATTAGTTTTATCAGATGTGTGCTTTGAGAAATAATCATAAATTAACACATCCTCAAACAGCATCCACATAAAGCATGTAAAATAATATAGATATTTGACAATCATAACTGCTATAGCAAACATAAAGAGTAACAACTTGAGAAATGTATCAAAAATTAAAAATGGTAGATAATATTTCAAACAAATTTAATTTTTTTCCAGTATTTTATCCAATACAACTCTTTTGGTAGCATACCAGATTGAAGGTAGCCTGTATATTGCTAGTTTATACTTTTACTAGTATAAACTTGTATAACAATATAGTTAATTAATTGTATCGCAAAATAATTTTTTTCACAAGTACATATATATATTTTTTGAAGTAAATTGTCATCTGTATGTTTTTATATATTCAAAATAAGCATTTATCATTTTAGAGTTTGGGATTGCCGCAATTGGGAATGTGAAAGATGGACAGTGCTCAGTGGAAGAGTTCAGTCTGCCTGTTGGTCAAATTGTGGTACTACCCTACTTTTCGCAACAAATACAGAAACCATTATCTATGGAGTAATAGTAAAACATGATCTAATATTTACATCGGATGCAGACACATCTTCAAACCAAGCCTTGCCAATGTTTGATACAACTAAAGTTGATATAGACGGGGTTATTGTCGGAGGGCTGATTCAGAGTATGGAAAGTGATCCAACAGGGAAATATTTAGCTGTCTCGTTTCAAGATACAGACTCTGTGGCTATTTTTAGTATAATTAGGCAGCATGGTTTACAGTTGGTAGCGAAGTAAGTTTTGAATTGACTTTTTTCTATATGTAGCAGATAAAAAATTTCGTTTATTTAAATTTTTTTTAATCATTTGCAATATTTTTATTTATTTAATTCTTCGGTTTAACCACACTTTGCTAGACGCTTTCAGTTCTAGAAGATACGGTGCTAAACTGTATGGCAATATCGGGAATCCTAACTAAATCAATAGAAATGTTTAAAATTCTACCACTACCGAATATTCCTGCATCCGACTTTGCTTCTGTTTTAGATCTGTCTCTATAACAGGTATAACAGTGCAGTCTGGGTCCAGTGTTTCTTCTACCTCATCCCTCTCGTGGGCAAAAAGTTAACGTCTGGACTGGCATTTTAGGAGACCACATAATAGGTCCATTTTTTATTGAAGGCAACTTGAATAGTAGAGTATACCTGGATTTGTTATAGCATCATGTTTTTCCCGCTATTCTCAAACTTCCTGACGTAAATATGGAGAATATTTGGTTTCATCAAAATCAGTTCACAACGCTCGAATAATTTGAAAGTATTTAAACAATACTTTCCAGAATCGAGTTATCAGTGGAACATGCGATATTAAGTAGCCTGCGCGATCTCCAGATCTTACACCCAAGGACTTCTTTTGTGGGGACATTTAAACAGTATTATCTACGATCATTCATAGGCTAATGCCCAAAATTTTGATGAATTAAAAAACCGAATAAGAGAAGTCTCCAATTCGGTTACAGTAGAAACTATTTCATCTGTCCGCAGAAGTTTTTATGGCAGATTGGTATACTTTTCAGCCGTAGAAGGTCAAAGATTTGAATCATTTCTGTAGGGCATAAAGAATTATTTCTTATTTTATTAGGAATTATTTTTTATTTTTAATAAGAGTATATTTTTGGTTTTATCTTTTTAAAGAAATGCGATTTTATTTTTAATTTAACCACAAAAAATTGTGCACCTTATTAAAAACCGATTCAAATGCACCGCCTGATAAAGATCAGTGTATTTTTATCCAGTTTATGTTATAAGAACTGAACCGGGTATACGTAATGAAAACAAAAATCAATGGCGGAGTTGTTATGTGCTATCATCAATTCAGTATCCCTTATTTCATTTATAATATTACTATGTCCTGGTATAACCTATAAAGCAAATATAATTGTATGAGAATATAAATTGGAAATCGAATTTAGGATTCAGCCTAAATCTGTGTTTTCTAGCGTTGCAAAGTAGAGGTGTGCTTATTAGTTCTTTTAGACGAACTAGTTCAAGAGAACTATTTCACAAAATTGAACTAGTTCAGTGAATTAGTTCGCGAAAGAACTATTTGTAGGACCGAAATCGAAATCCAACCCTAACATAACTGCTTGCCAGATGTCTCGTCAAAATCATCACACAAGCTCGGCGCCGGCCGCCCGTTCTCTTCGGTTTTCAGTAAGTCTTTCACTACCGTACGGCGTACAAGTACATAGTTCGGATTCTGAACCATTTCTTTCGATCGTATGTTTAGCTTTAAATGTTTTAAATTATTATATGATTAGTTAGTTTTTCTTTATAATAATTTATTTTCTTAATCAATCCCAAAAGATAAATAACAGACGAAATAGAAGTTTTTTATGGAATTATTTCGAGAAAAAAGATAAAAATAAAAAATCTGCAAAATGTAATTACTGTTCATGTGATACTAGTATTGTAAGTGATTCACTGGGCAATTTATCAAGACATTTAAGAATGAAGCACCCTGCTATCAATCTCAAATATTTCAATGTTGAAAGATAAATAGAAAAAGGACCCGAAAAATCAGAAAATACATTTCAAGAACCTCAACCTTTAACGTCAAAATCAGTTTCGCTAGTAGGACAAGCAGGGGAAGATGATGAGAAAGCAGTTATAATTCTTAAGAAAAAGCTTGCTCCTACTCCCCTTGTTTCTATCTGGGACTGTAATTGTACTTGACTGTAACTTATTTATGTGTTTTTGCTTTAATGTCCAGCTTTCAAGTCCATATTGCAGTATCGAAAACACGTAGCATCTCAATGCTCTTACTCTTAGTTCTAATCTAAGATCTTTGTTGCAGAGAATTGTTTTCATTTTTACAAACGCATTTTTTGCTATTTCTATCCTGGCTCTTATTTCGGTTGTTTGATCATCATTGTCTGAAATCCGGGTTCATTCCGGGAAATCCATTCACAAAATAATAAATATATGATCTCATTCTTTCATTATTTTCTTCTTTAGAAATTGAGACACAATTTATAATGCAAATCGTTCGCAGTGAACTAGTTCTATGAAAATTAATGAACTAGTTCAATTAGTTCAGTTGAAAGAATCGTTCATTTGAACTATTTCGGTGGTGAACTACACATCCATATTGCAAAGCAAGCAAACGACAAATGCACTGGTGTGGAGATTTATAATTTCTATGGGGGTCATGCCAAAATTCGTCTAGATAGAAATCCCTTCGTGAAAACGATTTCCTAATACTTCATACTAGAGTAAAATAATAAAAATGAAATAGACGGTTTAGGTTTGATTTTGTTACAGCGTACCACCATAAATAAAACCTCCGACTATAAAAGTAAATATATGAAAAATATTTACATGTGCCATGAATTCGCTCTGATGAAGCCAAGAGGCAGAAATGTGCATATCAGCGAATGGTGGTTTAGTAGGCACGTAATTCCGTTGGAAAATTTACAGGAACAAGAGCGAGTAAGAAACTAGCACATTGGCAACAGTGTTAGAGTGACCATTATGATATTCTACTGAACAGTAGCGTCGATATCTAATTTTAAATTAAATAAAATTTATTATTTTGCAAACATTTGATTTTAAGTGTAAATGGAACAGTCGCATGTCTTCAAATTATGTGGGTATCAGTAAATATTTTATCTTACCAAAAAGTTTAATTTTCTATAAAGTTTAAATAAAAAATATGAGTGTTATCAAATTTTTAGGTATATACCTAGGTTGTCGAGTTAATACTTAGGTAATATGTTTATTTTAAAAATCCTCTTGTAAATCAGCGTATCGAATCTCTGGCTAAGGGCTGGTGAATGCACTTAATTTTAATAACTTTCGTCTGAGAATTTGGGGTATCGAATATCATATAGTATAAGAATATATTCAATTTATTTAGAGTTAGGGTTAGTTAGTTGAATTTATATCACCGACCGAAGGAAACTGAATAAAACTTTTAAAGTCACATTTGTGACTTTAATACGAAAGTAATTTTTGTAATAGAAATTTCATTTTGTATTTTTTCGAACCAGGAGTCTCTTGCGATAATTAATCGTAGGACATTCCAAACGTAACATAGGTAGTAATAACACTAATCGATTTGACTGAACAAAACTTGTAAAATAATTTTTTACCATGATAACCATGTTATTGTAATCAGGAAAAAAATGAGAATTCATTTTTTAAATTAAATACAGGATGTTCTACTAAAGAATCACAACTTTGGTTTGATACCGTGTTAGAGAAGACTTAGTACCCCCATAATTTTAAAATGGGTAAGAGGTCTTAAACATTTATTAACATTTTTTATATATACCTAGCAGGTATTTTATAATAATGTAACCAGTACTTAGACTATCTTAAATTAAATACTTTGTACCTTTTTGTTCTATCAAGAAGTGTGTTTTTACTCTATTTTCAAAGATATATAAGCAAAACGAGAATATCTATATTTACAATAAAAATAAAGGTTTCAACTAACACCTAATTAGAATTAAGTACTTACTATCTACTCAGAGTCACTGTTATCACTAGTATCACTCGTATATTCTAATTTTACAGTTAGTTTGATTAATGCTGGTAAATAGTTAACATAGTCATTTTCCATTCCGATTACATATTTGATTTACAAATACATTTTTTCAATTGGTTGTTGTGATCTTTGAGTTCTCTTCTAATTAACTGGAAAACAATAGACGAAAATTTAGGAGCCACGTTTCCTCTTCTGATATTTCCTTTCATCATTACTGCGAATACAGTTATCAACAAAATATTCCTTCTGATACTGTCTACTATGAGCAACCTCCAACAATTGCTTTTTAATATATGATGCCTCAAAATACAAATCTTCCTCAAAAAATATTCCTGAATTTGTTCCAAGTTACATTTGGAATATTTCTCATTAATCTTGAATGGTATGATGCATTGTCACATGAGACACACACTATATTTAGGTAATTTCGGAAGAAGAAATTTTTTAAACCATCATTCAAAAATTGAACTTTCCATGTACTCATGGTAATCTAGAGACCGTATTTAATATTTCTTGCAGATATTAATAATACATCGTCGATCCATCCATTTTCTCCACCGCAGTGTAAAATTATAATGATTTGTCCTTCATTGGGCGGTACTGAATTAGAACACTTTTTGTTATTAATCGTCCAACTTTTTTCACGGTGTCGTATCATACATATGATTCAATATTTCGTTTCATTTTTCGACACTCATTTATCTGCCTGATATAATTATTTCTTAAAGAAATTATTCTAGTATTTTCCATTAGTGCCTGGCGCTTGTCTATAGTTTTGTACTAAAAATTATTGGCTTTAACAAATAATCGAAGTGTTGTTGCACATGAGAGAATGTCCTTTCGAACCAAGTCTTTCAATAGTTGGAAAAATATTAGCGGCATACATTTTGTATCTTCTTCTGGTTATAGGCTCAATTAAGTGCGGTTCTATTTGTCTGAATTTGCCACAATCCTTTCTTCCTCCTGAAGAAAATGTTCTTCAGTTGCAGAATTATTATCACACTCTGGATGCCACCTTTTAGAAGTATCTTTGTAAAATGGTAAAAGAAGTTTAGGAAGAACACTGATAAAGGCACAACCAAACTCACTTGCAGTTCTCTATTTGAATTTAACTGAACGCTTTAGTAGTTATGGTTATACTAAAAATATTGTTTCGCAAAATCTGATTACGCTGGTTTAAAAATAAAATATACCTACCTACCTATGGTTTCGGTCGTTCAGGCAAATATTGTTATATCACCCGAAGGGTGCATAAGTCTGCAGATACAAGAAAACGCATTATGATTTGTCTTAATAGCGATATCCGATGTTTTCATTGGCTCTTTATCCACGTGGGCTGATCAATAGGTCGATGAAAACTTCAACTGGGCGACTGCCCATAGTTTCAAACATAATACCAGGCACATCTGAATGTAAATATCAATAAGAATATTAAAACTTTGTGTTATTATACATTCCAGTCATCAATTAAGTTTGCAGTTAAAAACTAATCCTGGTAGAGTACTTTTATTTTAATTTTTATTGCCTGCTTTATTACATTAATTACTATTTAACTGGGAATAAGCCAGTTAAATACATACCTCCACCATACTGTGGGTTTTAAATTTTGTTTAGAAATGATATTCGTTCAACATTTCAACAACATTCTAAACAACAAACACGTTGAGATCTATTTTGTCCAAAACCAAACCTAACGATGAACAAGAAAGGACAAAGAATTGCATTTATAAAATACCTTGTGAATGCGATCAGGTTTATTTAGGTGAAACATCAAGGCCATTAAATGTTAGAATAAGTGAACATCAATCTTATATTAAATATAGAGAATTTGATAGATCTCAAATATGTAAACACGCATGGGATAATGAACATAGGGTTCAATGGAATAATTCAAATGTAGTCCTAAAAGAGACGGATGGTAAAAAAAAAGAAAAATCAAAGAAGCGGCTTTAATTATGCTAAATGAGGCCAATTGTGTCGCAAATTCCTCGGCAGAATGTAGTAGGATCTGGTTACCAATATTGAAAGAGGAAGTTATTAATAAGAAAATGCCAGTATTAGTAAGTCAGTAACATATAGAGGATACATAATTTATGTTTTTTAAATAACGAAACATATAAAATTAGAATGTTGGTGTTTATTGAAGGTAAACTAAATGCACGAACAAATACTTACCATGTCGGGATAGTATTATGAGGTTTTTTCCTGGTTTTTCCCTCATAATTTACTATGGAATCACTAACAGGAGAATTTTACTGTCATAATGTCATGTACGTGTTTGTCTTTTTAAAGACGAATTATATGCTATGATTTTTTCTGACGGATATTCTCAAGTTAAAGTTGATTTCATGTAATAGAATGAACTATCTTATAAGTAAAGTCGTCCCAGGAGCGCAACTCAACAATATTGGCAATATCATTTTAAAGTCGTCTACTTTAAAATGCATGATGTATGTCTGAATTGTCAATATAAATGAGTCAGATAAAATTAAATTATTAGAAGAATTTTTCACTAGGTAACAAAAAACAAAATTTGTTTAATTTACTGTTTGTATTTTGAGAACGAGGTTTGTATTTTGAGAAAGATTTCCGAAGTGGAAATTGAAACGTCAATAAACGTATTTTTATCTTTAATTGTGGCTTATTCCCAGTTAAATAGTAATTAATTTAAAATGCCACAAGAAAATAGCTTCAGAACAATGCTTTATTACAGATAAATATATTTTTACACAGTCTCACCGAAATACGAGGCGACTATACGCTGTAACGAAATGAAACCTAAGCCGTCTATTTTATTTTTATAATTGTATAAGTTATAGCACCTCATGTATGAGTCATTCATTCCTTTGCAGTGTCTCGTTTTGATCTTACCGATTTTTAACAGTATCATATCAAAATAAGCATTTGTGTATTGGTCCTCTTTATTACTTAACTTCATTATCTGAGTGGCAATCAAATGAAGCTTACCTATTCAAATTAAACACTTACATATACTTTTTTCATTTCAGCTCATTAGTAAATGGGTTAGCTGAAGAAAAACCAAGCACTATGAGCTTCCTTGTCGGTTATGAACCAGGCGCATGTTTGACGATAGGATGGTCCAGTGGTAGGATTCAATATTTTCCAATTATTTACAGCGATTTGTCTTCTGCTGACAATACTCAAGTATCTACTAGGTTTAATTCTTTTAATGGTTCAGTTGTGTGTTAAGACTAAAAAATATTTTATATTTTTGTAATTGTTTGATTATATAAGGAACATTATTAAATATCTATATTTATTTTGTTTTATTACCTCAGCACACCACGATAGTCGATAAAAAATTGACCTTACCTGAGTCTTAAAAGAAAACCAACCATACATTAAAATTATTATTTACTATTTTTTGTTATTAATCAGGTTCTTGTAGATTAAGTAGCTTAGTGGGTTGGCAGCATTGAGTTATAATGGACCGCAGGACTTGACGTCACGACTGTCACATTGACATTATTACTTTCCAAACAAAAGTTGAAATGTCAAATCTCAAGACTTTTTAATTTCTATAAAGTTAACATTTTGCTTCCTCTGCTGCTTTTTCTTGTAAGCATAGTGTTTTTTACGATAATACCATCATAATTCAGAGTTCTATTTCTATGAAATATAGTTTAAAAGTTTAAATAAAGAAATTGTAACCTTACTTTATTTATACATGCATTTTATTGCTATTAGCATAAAACAATGTGCCTTATTATTTACACAAGCTTGTAAAATTGTTTGTAAAATTTGAAAAGAAATTCTCATAAGCCAGTTTTTTCTTTAATGATATTGTTGATTTATAGTGCTTCTTAAACTTTTAATACACACTATATTCCTTTGTAACATCAGCAATTATCTTGACTGTAGAAATATTTTCTCGCATTACTATTAGTTCATCATCAAACCAAGAAATTTGACCTTTACTATGAGTTCGTAATTTTTTTATTGAAAAATTAATTTCAGTTAACTTTACATGCATTTCGGTAATACATTGAACTAATTATGTTGCTGTTTTGAGAGAAAAAAGCCTAGTCCACTTTATTTAACCCAATTAGGCCCAAAATACTTATTGGGATATGATAGAACAAGGTTTGAACTTGAATTTAGGTAATTGGTGAATTCAAAAATGTTTTTTACTTGTGTTTTGAACATTGAAAATAGTCATTGTACGTTTATGAGTTTATGGAATGATCCAAAAAATAAAAAAAAATTGCCCAGACCGAAAAAATTGATTGTTACACTTTCTTTAAAAAAATTTAACATCTTTTCGTCTGGGCGACCTCCTGAACCTTATTTTGGGGTATCTCATAAAAATGATTATGCAAAAATCTCTTCGGAATATTTTTTGCATGGTTTAATGTTATCGTACATGAGAGCCAGCCCGGTCCTGTTTTGTATGTGCCGATCAAGAACATGCGTACCTTTTCAACAGAAACATCGCTTGCCATAAGGACCGCACTGAATTCTTCTCGTGAATCCGACTATGGATGACTGATAACGGCCCATAACGATACGGACCATACAAGGAAAACAGATTATTGAATCTTTTCTTTTTTCCATGGGTTGCTAAAAAATTTTGATGATAATTCCAGAGGAATAAAACAAAAAAGAATTTTGTATTTCTTAACTATTAAAACATTAAAATTCATATAGATTTTCTTAAGAATAGGAATGAATATACAGATTTAATACTAAAGTAAAAAAAGTTATTTTCAATCACTCAGCAAATCATCATCGATGTTGATATCCTGAAAAAGAAAAATAACTTTAAACTAAATATGTACATATACTAAAACTAAATTGTGAATTAATTATATATTTTCCTATCAGATCTCTTCGTCAATCTACAATATTTAATTTTTAAGATAAATTATTTGATCTAAAGTATGAGAAAGTGGTAAAATTTCCTGCTCGCTCTTTAAGAACAAGACAATAGCTCAAAGTTTGAAACGAAGAACACCGCTGCTTGTAGAATTGAAACAAACATCTAAATAACAAATACAAGTCAATTTGTGACTTGGAACTAGGAAAAAAGGAATGAAAAATAACTTTTAAACAGTGATTTTATAAATTTTGTAAGTTTGAGGAAATTTAATAAAATTTGATCTTTAGAAATATTCAGTTACCATTTTATTTACCACGCAACAACTTTCTTTGAATCAGTTGCAGGACAAACGACGAAATATAGATACAAAACCGCTCATATCTACACTTTAGGTAGAAAAAAAATGAATAATATAAACTTAGGAACATTAATTTAATCTACCATTTAAGCTATTTCAAAAATATACACTTACCGTCGTGTCAATGTTCTCATCAATATTTACACCGTCCAAATCTAAATCGATATCGTCGTCATCTTGATCCAGCTGTATAATGTTTGAAGATTCTTCAGGTCTAAAATATAAAGTTAGATAAAAGTAATATAAAATAATAACAGAAACAGTTACAACAAATATTATAAAATGTAATCAAAAGATACATTTTTCTCATCTCTCAAATCTGAATTTTTTCACGCTTCTCCCCATTTTACTACATATATTATTAATTTGATGTCGCGTTCTCTTGGTTGTTTTGTCAACACACGGATCTATATTGTCAAAAATCAAACCCAACAACAAACAAGAAAGATCAAAGAACTGCATCTATAAAATACTCTTTGAATGTAACAATTTCTACGTGGGAGAAACCGCCAGACCTCTAGTGTCAGGATAAACGTGCATAAAACATATCAAGAACAGAGACTTCGACAAATCTCAGATATTCAAACAGGACTGGGACAATGAGCACAGAGTACAATGGAAAGATGCATCAATAATCATGAAAGAAACAGACATAAAAAAGAGAAAAGTCAAACAAGCAGCTCTCTATCTACTTATTGAAGAAAAATGTGTAGCAAGCTCATCAGCAGAATTTAGCAGGCTTTGATTGCCAATACTAAGTCAAAAATAAGAAAATACCAACAAATGCGGATTAAAGGAAGTCGCAGATATAATCTATACAATACATATGCAATACACAAACATATAATCTACATAAACAAACATTATTCAAACAAATAATACAAAAAAATACACAAAACAGTCAGAATTTGATATTCTGATGGTTAAAAGCACCACCCTCAAATTTTTTTTCCACCAAAAGGCTATTAATTGCCTACAAGATCGAGGCCAAGTAACACAACCATCAATTAAAAAAAAACATAACCTACTTAAAACTTGTTGGTTATACATTTTCCCGTAATTTTTTTAAATAATCTTTTTTGAAAACGATTTCCGGAGTAACAATCTAAACGTCAAACTTTATTTATAAAAATATAATTTTCATTACAATAAATTGTGGCTTAATTGTGTGGAATTACCGCGGTAATTCTGATTGGCATTGTTCGTATTAAGTATTTACACTTTTATTTACATTTATTTAAGTCAGGCTCCAAATTATTCTATAATTCACCTAATTTACTCTTCAAATCATCGACGGTTCTCTGGAGTTTATTAGGCAATTTCTGTTTCATCTTATGCCACAATATCTCAATAAAATTAAGTTCTGGACTGTTCGAAGTTTCGAAGGCCATAAGAACACTTAATGTTAATGTCTCCAAACCATTATTTAGTTTTGTTTTGAAGCTATTTTCTTGTGGCATTGTAAAATAATTACTATTAAACTGGGAATAAGCCACAATTAAAGATAAAAATACGTTTATTGATGTTTCAATTTCCACTTCGGAAATCGTTCTCAAAATACAAACAGTAAATTACGGTTTGTATTTTGAGAATGATTTCCGAAGTGGAAATTGAAACGAAACGTCAATAAACGTATTTTTATCTTTAATTGTGGCTTATTCCCAGTTTAATAGTAATTACATTATTTAGTTGTTTTAGCTGTATGGCATGCAGCGCCGTCCTGCTATAATATATAATTCAAGTCCAGGTAGAAATCATGAGCACTTGGTACAAGACTATTTTTCAAAATTTCTTCATACTTAAATTGCTGTGTTAATTGTTCTCTTCACCACTTCATATTTTCCTAGACCAGCTGATTACACCCCAAATCATAATTCCTTTGGGAAACTTCACAGTTCTTTTGGGACAATCTTTATGGAATGCTTTATTTTTTACTTCTGATAACCCGTTTTCGACCGTTGTTAACTGGTTCAGACTGATATTCACCGACGAATCGAAATTTGATGTTTGCGTGGGAAACTTTCGAAAACGAGTTATCAGAAGTCAAAATGAAGATAAAGAATTCCATAAAGATTGCCTTAAAATTCTGAAAAATAGTTTTGTACCAAGTGCTCACGATCGCTACCAGGACTTAAATTTTATATTTGAGAAAGACGGTGCTGTATGCCATACAGCTCAAACAACGATAAACTGGTTTGGGAGACAATAACATTAAAGTTCTTTCATGGCTTTCGAACAAGCCAAACCTTAATGTTACTGAGACTTTGTGGCATAAGATGAAAGAGAAATTGCGCACGGGCTCGTATATTCTTATTTTAATGCTACATTTTGGGCTTTTAATGCTGCCTTTTCTAATTTTATTAGCTGGAAATCATTTTGCACTTGATCAATTTTTTGCCTCTCTGCCTCGTACTATCTCATTTTTCACTTTATCTTTTTCGTAATTTCCTCCATCTTTACTCGACGATAGAAACTCACCTCCAGTCAGTTCGTCAAAAAGTTTGTTTCTCTTTAGAGTTCTTATGTTATAAATTTAATTTCAACTTTATTATCAATTTTAGGATACTGTGGATTTCTCTCACAATCAGGCAACGTCGCTTTTGGGCGGCGAGGTTTATAACCTTACCGCATATATCGTTGCCTTACCTTATGTCAATTGTCAGGATAAAATGTACACTTAAACCGTCGGTTCACTCAGTTTGCGAAGATTGTGACAGATTCATTCTTGCAAACACACAACACAAAAATTGTATGCTACATTATTCACTTAGTAGGCGAGGCAATGAAACAGTAAAATGCCCAAAAACTACCAAATTTTTGCAGTTGGATAGATCTCAATAAATGTATCGAATTTTTACAAAACTCCAGAAGACGATGCCTAGATGCTCCAGGTGTCTATGAGACCATTCCCGTCATGATATTTGTTTTCAGTGCCCCAAAAACTCCCGAGTAGTAATATTAAACTCATTTCTGTCAATTATTTGCGAATTACAAATGTATCACTTTTCATCACTTCGAAATGCACTTTGGAAAATGTATTTTCCTTGCTCAATAATGCAATTTTCATTTCCACATCATCATTTTTGTTCACAAAATTTCCTGACACTCATACGAATCGAATATAAGTTTATAACTGATAGTGTAGTGTCACACTAACAAATCGCCAGACTATAGGATCTGATAACGTCACTATCTAGAATAGAGGGTACCGGCCGAAACGAAGGAACGTTACAAAGGGTCACATTGCCGAATTCTCGAGATATGGATAGAACTACCAGGATGTATTTCTACGCCTATAAATTAGTGAGCTTTTAGTTTTAAAGTTATTTGGTATTTTATTATTATTATTTCATAAACACCATAAAGAGGAGAAAAACAGAATACTTCAGCCATATAATTAGAGGACCTAAATACCATCTACTTCGCCTTATAATACAAGGAAAAGTGGAAGGAAAGAGATGGATTGGTCGAAAGAAACTTTCATGGCTGCGTAATATTAGACAATGGTGTGGTTCCACAGTAGAAGAATTATTTCGCGCAGCAGCCGACAGAGAAAGGTTTCAGGAAATTTTAAACATGATGACGACCAACGTCTGAATACGGACACGGCACCCAAAGAAGAAGAAGGTATTTTACAGCAATTGTACAAATAAATAGCATATACAAAATGGATCGTTACATTTAATATATGCACAAATTTAGTGAAGGTCATCTAAAAACGAATGTTGCTCCACCAGAAAACAGTGATTATACATATACGGGAACTACTGAGTAATCATGATAATGACTTACTACGAGCTTGAGACATATTAAAGTGTTAATTCCACACCTGTACGTATGTAAAAATTAATTTTTTTTTATACTAGTCTGATAATTTAAAACTACACTTACTTAGCAGAACTCCTTGTTTGTGCTTCTATTTCTGATGAAATACTCCTCGAACTAAATGATGGTCCATCATGTTTCGATTGTGCTTGAACTTCGGCTACAACATTCCTGTCGTGATTAGGAGGAATGGTGGTGGCAATTCGCGCGGGTGCTAAACCTTTATTCTGCTGTTCCAAAAATTTCTGAGCTACCACTGCCTCTTGTAAACCAGGGAACAGATTTTCGTAATTTTTCGGATCGGCAAGGCTCTGTCCGGCTTTTTGATTGACTGAAGATAACTGAGTCTTCCAAAGTTCTACAACTTCCGTTATCTTATCAGGAAGGTAAGATCTGGCGAAAAATGCAGCTTCTGGCAATCTACCGGTATTAATAAGAATGTCTAGGCATTTGTTTAAATCACCTACTAACAAGTGTGACAAAAATGCTAAGTTATGTTTGCTTTCTGCTTGTGTAGTTTCTCCTAGAGTACGGACTAAACTTTCATCCCCGGAACTTGTAGCAAGAAGCAATAAGCCGCCATAATCTTGCGCTTTCTGCATACATTCCTTGGCCAGGCTTACGTTATTAGTAGCGGCAGCCAATTCTGCTAATTGATTCCACTTTTGCGGACTGTTTGCTTCTTGAGCTAGAATCTTGGCTGTGTTAAGATCCTCTAATGCTACTGCCAGCTCGAATCTGTGCTCTGGATCTGTACTTACGGCCAAAGCTTGTTGTTTGAAGCCTTGCTTTTCTAAGAAATGTGCGACTCTCGTTCTGTGCTCCTTAGGAATAGACGGAAGTACTCTATCTGCTGTTGGAAAGTCTCTTCTCATGACAACAGTTTGATATTCAAGAACAGAAAGAAGTAATTGGTAGCTTACTACGCGCAACTCTTTATCTACCAGGTATAATCTATCATCTTTAGGCACATATCCCAAGACATATAAAGGCCGATCCAAATGGGCAATTGTAACTAGTTCACCTCCAACAAAATAGTTGATACGATTAACAGAATTCGTGTAGATAAAACAGTCGCCTACCCACAAACCAGTTCGAACTGATTCATTTATTTCACCTAGAAGATTGAAAGCTGATTCTACTCCATCATCGGCAACCTACAAAGTAAATAAAAAAAAGTGATACAATTTCTCAGAACGAAAAAAAAACTGATCTTTGTTGCATGTTGTCTTTGAATTATAGTTAAAAAAAATTTAAAACAAAAATTTCAAAACTAGTTCATTATACTTAAGCGAATGAGTCTGAGAGTGTCATTCAAACTAAATGAGTTTTAAATGGTATATCTGAATATTATTTAATGGCTGACTGATGGCATGGTGTGGAAGATCGTTGATGGATGAATGCCCAAGTAACTGATGCGGTATGTATAATATCGCTAAGTCAGTGGCTAATGAGGAAGTGCTTACAGATGTGACAGTTTACCTTAATTGGCGAATCAAGTCACCTTGCCTGAATCATGGAAAATTTCCATCAAGCTACAGATGGGACAAGATGAAACAAAACTTCTCAATTTCATTAATGCGGAAACTTTTGAACTCAATCGAAAAAATAAGAGATTTTCTACTGAAAAAAAGAAAAGATTTTTCAGGTAAAATGGGAAAAGATTTTTCAGGTATGAAAAGAGCTATGTATCCAAATGACAACTGTGAAATCTATATCATATTGAGCAAATTGTGATAAATCATAGGCAGAAAGAAAAAAAAACACAATAAAAATTGTAATTGAGGTTTGACATGATTATGAATTTACCTGATTGTTATCTCTGGCTTTTTGAACTTCATCGGAATCATAAGAAAGAATAAAGTAGCTGTCTTCTGTAGCCAAACATACTAGTTTGCCACTATCTGACCAGTAAACTGCTTTTGGCTGTATCTCGATTCTTCTTACCAAATCGAGAGTTTCCCAATCATAGAAAGTCAAACCAGAAACAGATTTGACTCCCAAAAGGTAACCACCATATATACCTAAAAATATATAAACGGAATTATTATTAATATACTTATTTAATAATAATGTATGTAGTTTTTGTACCTTCAGCTCCAAAGTCGGACTTAAAATTCTTCTTCTCTTTGAAATTCTTAAAAATTCTGATTGTGGATCCGGATTCTCTGATGGCATATTCGCTGGAATCTTGAGCCCACACAAATTCTTGTGCACTACCAAAAGCTTTGTTTCTTAAAGCCATTGCTGTGTAGATTATGTATTCTCCATCCCCACATACAACGACAAAACGGCCGTTAGGATTGTGTTGAATTGTCTGAGGGTATATCTCGCAAGCTCCCATATCTTTTACAGAAACTGGAAGGCGTTCTCCGTCTCTTATTTCTGCACCTACAGAGAAAAATATCTATAATTCTAAAGATATAACGTAAACTGAAACTCAATCTGTACCAACTTGATCAATGACAAAATGGTTGTTTTATACTACTACCATGATTTTATAATATTGGAAGGAATCATTCCAGAAATAGTTAAGACATCATATAGTAATGTGCACCAGTTATTCTGCAGATCGACCATCCTACCACTCTAGTGACAGTATGTTCTTCTAGATCATACATTGTTGACCAAGTTCAATCTCCTGTTAAGGCAAACTATTCCAAAACATGGGTGGATTGTGGTAATGTTGAGGTTAATGTTGAGGTCCTACATAGAATAGGCAAGGAATGCGAGATTATTAACACCATCAATATCTTGACCATGTTATGAGGAATGAACAGAGATACAGCTTGTTGCAACTCATTCTTCAGGGCAAAGTATTTGGAAAGAGAGGACCAGGGAGAAAGTGGTTTAATACATCGACAACCGGACTATTCAGAATAGCAGCAAGCAAAGTTAGGATAGCCATGTTGATCGCCAACATCCGGAACGGATAGGCACTGTAAGAAGAAGAAGAGGAATTCCAAAACATATGAGGTTATCTCATAATACTGTAAAACAACTCGTTTTACATCTAATGTTTTTTAAATTAATGTTATACTCTAGAGAACAGCGCGAAATTGATCCCCTCTCTTCAATTTAGTGCACAAATAACTTTGATGCTTTTAGATATTCGAATTTACTTATACATAGTTTTATCAAATATAATCAATAATTAGTTCATTTTATGATTCCTTTTACAGTAAAAAATAATTGTGGATCGCATTGCGCGTTATATTAAATTTATTAGTTGTTTATAATTTAACAAAACTTACCTTCAGCTAATGCCTTGAGATTTGCCTGTTGAAGTTCAGAGTGTCTAGCCCAAATAATTTTACCTCCACTGGCATCCATACTAACAGCTGGTTCTTCTCTACCAACTTTAACCAAAATGCTACCTTCATCATAACCCAATGCCACATTATTTGATCCCTTTAGGCAGAAAATAGTCCATACTCTTTCAAAACCATAATTTAAGCTACTCTCTAATCTATGGGTGTTGGCATGCCACACTCTGACAGTACCATCCTCACTTCCAGTAAGGGCTACAGGAAGTTCTGGATGGAAACAAGCAGCCGTTACATTTTGAGCATGTCCTTCCAAAGTTTGAACACAAGTTTTATTTTGATAATCCCAGATTTTTACTAATCTATCATCAGCACCTGAGATTAAATAAGGCTTATCTCCACCATGATAATAATCCACACAGTTTACACCTTTCTCGTGACCTTCTAGTGTGAAATTCGCTGTTGATGCTCCCAACTGCCATACTTTCAATGTTCTATCTAAAGATGCACTGGCAAATGTGTTGTTGTCTTTTGGATTTATGGCGATTTGCATAATATAATGAGTGTGTCCTTCAAAAACTTGCTGACAAGCCCATGCTTTTTCCCAATTCCAAAGCTTGATAAGCATATCATCTAAATAAAAATATACCTTATGTAAATAAAAAAATTTAAATATTGATAATATGTTTGAATATTAAATATATGTGTATTATTTTAAAAAGGTACTTGTATCATACAAAGTATTAATGATCAGGGTGATAAAAAGTTGAATACTGGAGTATTTACTGAGTATATTTTGTGAAATTTTTAATATTTTCATTGCAACTGAAGCAACATTTGTTTATAGAGGAAAAAACTATCTGTACTAATATGCTTCTTATGATTCTTATTGTGTTAAAAACACTTCTTACATTTTTTAGGCTACAATGCACTTCTATTTAGTTATTTCCCATTAATTCCTGATTTTCTAGTTTATTAGAGATGACATCAAATGGAGATGGATCAAAACAAATATTTCTCCAACGCTCTAACATTGTCATCCAGAAAACCAATGTATAATGGCAATTAGTTTATTTGAAAAAGTAAGTACCTTCACTTGGAAGGGAAAATGCGAAGCCTCAATCAAAGCTGAACTCAGTTTATAATGAATTTGTACCGTTATTAGTAATAGTGAAATTTTGAAAAGCTGATTTAGTTCATAGTTGTCAAAGTGTTTTATGATTGACATTTAACAACCCAGAAATAGTCAATACTGCAGAAATCGTCTATACAGTTCATGATACGATTAAATAACAGTCAAAGCAGTGCAGAAAAAGCGGCGAACACCCAGTGTAAAGGTCAAGACCACTGATCAGCAGAAAGATGATAATATTGACCTATTTTTTAGGATACAACAGTTTTTATTCACAATTATTACTTAAAAAAAAAAGGTAGAGAAATATTTGGTGTGTATTATTTTGCTTTATTTTGGATAGTTTCCAATTTGATAAGAATCACAAAAAAATCTGTACCACCAAGACAACATATCCTCTCACAGAGTGGCTATTGTATGGGTAAAACTACAGTAATTGGGATACCAGTTAAAAAAATTATTTTTAAAGACACTGTTTTTTAATGAATAATATTATTTTGAGGAGCTCAAGCCCAATTACTTTTTGAAAAGAAAAAAAGATTGCAAAAACTATCATATCAAATGTAATAAGATGAACGACATTCTGAAGAAAAATAAATAAAAAAAATTACAAAATGGTGCATTCTCTTTATTATGCTAGATTAATGTCAAACTGTCTTTGTAAAAGCACATAAAAATTTGGACATCACAGACAAAACTATATATAAACATGATTTAAAAAATACACAAAAGATTTCTACAGTAGTTGTATGTCACATGACCTAATGCTTATCCAAATCTTGTATCTTACAGAACAATCTCAGGAACAACCTGAACAGATTATTAAGAGAATTGACAGACTATGACAAAAACGTAAGGACGATACATAGAAGACCCAGGCAACAGCTAACAGAATATAGAGGTAACCCAGAAGATTAATAAAGAATGAGATAGCCATACGATAGACTAATGTACACAGCGCAAAAAAAATCCCTATGCAGTATACTCCCTCTATAGCGAACACGGTTATTACAAGGTTTCGCTTATAACGAGGTACATTAGATGTTCCGTGAAATTTCTATTGAACTATAACCCTCTATAGCGAGACAAATTTGGTTATAATGAGATAAAATGAGATAAAATAAGATCGAAAAACGTGTTTTCTACGTTTTTCCTGCCGCCCGCAATAAACTTCTTTTGTTTAATCTACTGACCGATATAGTGTTGTTGGAAATTTACAATTTATGATTCAGAAGTGTCAGTGAAAGGTTTCGGTCATTCGCACCTAATAAACTACGTAAAACATGACAAATGAAACAAATTTCACCAAAATTTCATTTCCAATTGTTTTTGTCATAGATGTTTATCGTTTGTTTCCTGATTGTGCTTTCGCGTCTTGAAAGTTGTGTTGTAGATTACATAGTCACATAGATTACACACTATGACTAAAAGCATTTACTTTAAAAGAAAAATTAATACCCTTAAGGATGTTGAGAACAGTAAGAAGAAAGCAGAAGTTTATCATGAAAGAGGAATTTGAAGTTCCACTCTATCTACCATGCTCAAAAATAAACACAAGATTTTCGAAGCAGGGCTTCATAAGGTTCCTTAAATTTCACTACAGAAAACTTTTAATCAAGTGGATCCGGAATAATGTGGAAGACTGTAGTGAATCCCCTGTTACTTTATTAGATGCCATAAATTTCATCCACAAAATATGGACACTAGTTGATGAAAAAAACTTTAAAAAAATGTTTCGGTAATGCAGGGTGGACAGAGACTGAGGTAGAAAACAAAAAAGATGAATATCTTGTAGCAGAGTGGTTGAGGTTACAAGAGCAAGGTCAAGAACTAACCCAACTGAACAAGGATGACAAGTTTGCTGAATTCATTGCCATTGATGATGACATCATTTTTGTGATCTTCCAATGGATTAGTGAAATTATCGCGGAAGTAATAAATCCGCCGGTGGAGCTCGTTATTGTCGATGACGAAAGTGATAAAGATGGAGAAGACAATCGTGGTGAATCTACGCAAGAAGGTTGTAATAGACAAGATGTGGAAAGTGCTTTAAACATAAGAAACTCTATCCAAAGACAAAACCCAAATGAAGAAGCATACAACTGTTTCAGATCTTTAGAAAATATGATAGATAGAATGATACTGGACAATTTAAAGTAGTCAAAAATGACAGATTTCTTCAAATTACAGAAGCAATAGTTTATAATATCCTAGAAAATACATACATTATTTAGTTGAAAAAAATGTAAGTACAGATTTTTTGTTTTAACGTAAATCATTGACAATAAAAGTAAACAACTCTTTTTTGTTTTAATGTATTTCATTGACAATATAAGTGAATAACTTTTTTTTTTTCAAAAACGCCATTCAAACAATATTTAGCATCTTATATTGCTCCAAATAGCTTCACTATAGGAAGTTAATGTTTTAGAAAACTACATATTCATATGTATGCACAGTATTATTGTGTCTTATATAACAAGATTGGCTTATAACAAGGTAATTAGTCTGCCATTTCAATTCTCATTATAGAGGGAGTCTACTGTATTATCTTATTTCTTTTATTTAGTTATGTTTTATTTCACTAACCAGTTATACTGTAAAAGATAAAAAGCAAAAAATATATACCCTGGGTATGTGATGGCATACACCCATTGTTACTTTCATTCTATTATTATTTCAACTTAACCATTCTAACAACTCTCTGTTACAGCAGTTATGCTAACAATACAACCACATCAAGTGAATTCTGAGGCACAAACATAAAGATGCCCCTCAGGCAGGTCAAATGACTTACAGTCAAGAAACCTGACCATCAAGGTCATGTGCAAAAAGCATGAGCTCAGCGGTTAGACCATTTGGCACACAGCCGGTGAGAACAAAATTTATTTTGCTGCTTTGGTGGCTGAGTGATCAAGCATACAAAAATCTGGACATCTGTCCAGAACACACTTTTGGGACACAAGTCCAAAGTCAAGTCAAATATTAAATTCAATCAGTCATAGGGATAAAAGCTCATCTTGTTACCCTTAAAATTAGGTGGCCTAGCCACACAAAGTATAACGAAGGATGTCCCATTACCCAGGGCATCCAAAGTAACGCTCAGTAGAAGAGCCTCCCCATTCGTTATGTCCTGCGATGGGGAGGGGTGGTTGGTTATAGCTTGGGGTCAGGTAGGTACTGCTTCATTAAGGAGTGTGACCAGTTTGATCTTCAGACATGTGCGTCCCTCTGATCCATTGGAACACAAATGTCACTCTAGAGTTGGGGTTCGTACAAATTGTGTGTGTGTGTGTGTGTATCTTACAGAAATATGTTTGACAGTTTTCAATTTTTGTCACTATAACATGGATTTTTGATACCTTTGAAATCAATATATCAACTGTCACCAAAACCATTCAATGATATAAAATTATGCAATGGGCACAAATCTCCATGATATTATTTGATAATTGAATAAATTATAAGCCATATTAACATAGAAAATAATCTTCGTAACACAGAATTTAAATCTACTCCGATTTGTTAAAATAATTGTGATCATTTTCTAATAAATGAATCCAAGACTTAATACTATTCCCTTGCCAGGTTTCCTCTTGAGTATGCAACAGTTATTTGGTCTCACATCTATTAGACTTACAAGGAATAGTTAAGAGAGATTCAAGATTTTTAAGGTTTGTTGCATATAAAATTAATATTAACTTAGAGGAAAACCATGAATCCGAAGTCAAAAGACCCTGAACCTTAACACTTCAAACAAAGGAATGGCATATGTCTGCTTTATTTACAACATAATTTGTGGTACCACCAATTGTCTAGAACTCATAGAAGAAATTAAACATTCCTGTTAAGTAATTGAAACATGGGGATTTGTTTCTTATTTCTTTTCACTCAACAATTAATGACTTGAATTCTCCTATTCAGAGAATATGAAAGTTAATTAACAATAGTGTAAATTTACTTGACATTTCATATGGAATATAGAATGATTTTAAGAGGACTCTGCATAAATGTGTTTTAAAACATATGTATATAGATTTATGTTATCATATTTATTACTATTAATAAATATGATAACATAAATCTATATACATGTTTTTGTCATAGATGTTTATCGTTTGTTTCCTGATTGTGCTTTCGCTTCTTGAAAGTTGTGTTGTAGATTACATAGTCACATAGATTACACACTATGACTAAAAGCATTTACTTTAAAAGAAAAATTAATACCCTTAAGGATGTTGAGAACAGTAAGAAGAAAGCAGAAGTTTATCATGAAAGAGGAATTTGAAGTTCCACTCTATCTACCATGCTCAAAAATAAACACAAGATTTTCGAAGCAGGGCTTCATAAGGTTCCTTAAATTTCACTACAGAAAACTTTTAGTCAAGTGGATCCGGAATAATGTGGAAGACTGTAGTGAATCCCCTGTTACTTTATTAGATGCCATAAATTTCATCCACAAAATATGGACACTAGTTGATGAAAAAACTTTAAAAAAATGTTTCGGTAATGCAGGGTGGACAGAGACTGAGGTAGAAAACAAAAAAGATGAATATCTTGTAGCAGAGTGGTTGAGGTTACAAGAGCAAGGTCAAGAACTAACCCAACTGAACAAGGATGACAAGTTTGCTGAATTCATTGCCATTGATGATGACATCATTTTTGTGATCTTCCAATGGATAGTGAAATTATCGCGGAAGTAATAAATCCGCCGGTGGAGCTCGTTATTGTCGATGACGAAAGTGATAAAGATGGAGAAGACAATCGTGGTGAATCTACGCAAGAAGGTTGTAATAGACAAGATGTGGAAAGTGCTTTAAACATAAGAAACTCTATCCAAAGACAAAACCCAAATGAAGAAGCATACAACTGTTTCAGATCTTTAGAAAATATGATAGATAGAATGATACTGGACAATTTAAAGTAGTCAAAAATGACAGATTTCTTCAAATTGCAGAAGCAATAGTTTATAATATCCTAGAAAATACATACATTATTTAGTTGAAAAAAATGTAAGTACAGATTTTTTGTTTTAACGTAAATCATTGACAATAAAAGTAAACAACTCTTTTTTGTTTTAATGTATTTCATTGACAATATAAGTGAATAACTTTTTTTTTTCAAAAACGCCATCCAAACAATATTTAGCATCTTATATTGCTCCAAATAGCTTCACTATAGGAAGTTAATGTTTTAGAAAACTACATATTCATATGTATGCACAGTATTATTGTGTCTTATATAACGAGATTGGCTTATAACAAGGTAATTAGTCTGCCATTTCAATTCTCATTATAGAGGGAGTCTACTGTATTATCTTATTTCTTTTATTTAGTTATGTTTTATTTCACTAACCAGTTATACTGTAAAAGATAAAAAGCAAAAAATATATACCCTGGGTATGTGATGGCATACACCCATTGTTACTTTCATTCTATTATTATTTCATCTTAACCATTCTAACAACTCTCTGTTACAGCAGTTATGCTAACAATACAACCACATCAAGTGAATTCTGAGGCACAAACATAAAGATGCCCCTCAGGCAGGTCAAATGACTTACAGTCAAGAAACCTGACCATCAAGGTCATGTGCAAAAAGCATGAGCTCAGCGGTTAGACCATTTGGCACACAGCCGGTGAGAACAAAATTTATTTTGCTGCTTTGGTGGCTGAGTGACCAAGCATACAAAAATCTGGACATCTGTCCAGAACACACTTTTGGGACACAAGCCCAAAGTCAAGTCAAATATTAAATTCAATCAGTCATAGGGATAAAAGCTCATCTTGTTACCCTTAAAATTAGGTGGCCTAGCCACACAAAGTATAACGAAGGATGTCCCATTACCCAGGGCATCCAAAGTAACGCTCAGTAGAAGAGCCTCCCCATTCGTTATGTCCTGCGATGGGGAGGGGTGGTTGGTTATAGCTTGGGGTCAGGTAGGTACTGCTTCATTAAGGAGTGTGACCAGTTTGATCTTCAGACATGTGCGTCCCTCTGATCCATTGGAACACAAATGTCACTCTAGAGTTGGGGTTCGTACAAATTGTGTGTGTGTGTGTGTATCTTACAGAAATATGTTTGACAGTTTTCAATTTTTGTCACTAGAACATGGATTTTTGATACCTTTGAAATCAATATATCAACTGTCACCAAAACCATTCAATGATACAAAATTATGCAATGGGCACAAATCTCCATGATATTATTTGATAATTGAATAAATTATAAGCCATATTAACATAGAAAATAATCTTCGTAACACAGAATTTAAATCTACTCCGATTTGTTAAAATAATTGTGATCATTTTCTAATAAATGAATCCAAGACTTAATACTATTCCCTTGCCAGGTTTCCTCTGAGTATGCAACAGTTATTTGGTCTCACATCTATTAGACTTACAAGGAATAGTTAAGAGAGATTCAAGATTTTTAAGGTTTGTTGCATATAAAATTAATATTAACTTAGAGGAACACCATGAATCTGAAGTCAAAAGACCCTGAACCTTAACACTTCAAACAAAGGAATGGCATATGTCTGCTTTATTTACAACATAATTTGTGGTACCACCAATTGTCTAGAACTCATAGAAGAAATTAAACATTCCTGTTAAGTAACTGAAACATGGGGATTTGTTTCTTATTTCTTTTCACTCAACAATTAATGACTTGAATTCTCCTATTCAGAGAATATGAAAGTTAATTAACAATAGTGTAAATTTACTTGACATTTCATATGGAATATAGAATGATTTTAAGAGGACTCTGCATAAATGTGTTTTAAAACATATGTATATAGATTTATGTTATCATATTTATTACTATTAATAAATATTGAAATTTGAAAATGGAATTTCCTATAAATTTTGTAAAAGTAAAATATAAATAGTTTTCCATATTTCATAGTTATCTCAGTATCCAATTAGTAACTACAAGTTCATTTTTGTTTTCTATTTTAAGTCTTGTTTGCTTATTTTAAGATTAAAATAGATTTCCTTTCTTTGCAAAATTTCAGTTTGATATACACATTAGTGAAAAGTAGTATAAATCACTTTAAAAGCTTTGTATTTTGTATGTATTATGAAACTACCTTTAAATATACAAAATACACAATCATATTAAATGCTTACCACTACTTGTTAATATATAAGGTTGTGTAGGATGAACGACAATACATCTCACATAATCTGAATGAGCTTCAAAAGAATGTACCCGATCTAAGGTATTGTAATTGAAAACTCGAATCTGCATATCATCAGATCCACTGACTATCCAGTTCTTTCTGGGTAAAAACTTAGCTGTTCGTACAGGTACATCACATACTTCAAAAGTTTTAACCAGTTGTTGATTTTCGGTATTCCAAACATTGATATTTCCACTGTACAGGGAACATAGCATCCAAGGTTCTGTAGGGTGAAGATCCACACATTTTACCCGGTCTGAGCGAGCTGTTAGCTTTCTTTTAATATCTAATCGAAGTGGCTAAAATGAAAATGACTTGTAAAAATGTTACAAAATGTTTACTTGTAATTATTACCATTTTGAAGAGGTCCTATACAAAAAATTGAATGCTATTTGCTATTTCACTAAATTGACACGAATTATAAACACATCACCATTTCCGAACTGTCAAAAATTATAACCTATGATTCTACGTGGCTCTTCTTTATGTTATTTTAATTTGTACCATATTCCTTGATTTTTGGATCCTTTCAATCCTTTGTTCATTTATTTTTCTAGAACTGACAAGACTATATACACAGAAAAGAACTACCAAAGTTTACGTAATATAAATAAATATAAAAAGTGATGGAAATAATTAATTTAACTGCTATTAAATATAACAATTGAAAATTGATTTTGTATATTATGGCTACATATTACAAACGTTCAAGTCTAATACGATTTCCAAGTGTCCAAGTTGACAAGTCAATTGTAGGTTAGTCTTTTACTCTCAAAGTTGCCGAAATTTCATCATTTGTTGCCCAATTTGTTTCAATATTGTTCTGATTTTATTTAAAAGCGGTACTTAAATATAGTAATTAGTAAGTGCTAACGATTTTATAAACTGACATCCTTAATAATTAAAACTTTTTAGAACATGGTTGAGAATAGCAAATTAACTATAGATGAAAAATTTCACCTAATATCCAGAAACCTGCAGGAAATATTAGGAGAAGATAGAATTAAAGCAGTATTGAAAGAACGTGATTTGAAGTTGTATTGGGGCACAGCTACAACGGGTAAACCTCACATTGCATACTTTGTTCCAATGTCCAAGATTGCTGACTTTCTCAGAGCTGGCGTAGAAGTTACCATTCTTTTTGCTGGTATATATGCATGTGTTTGTTTCAGTTACCACGTACTTAATATGTATTTTTAGATCTTCATGCATATTTAGATAATATGAAGGCACCTTGGGAACTTTTAGAGCTTAGGGTTCAGTATTACGAACATTGCATTAAAGCTATGCTAAAATCTATTGGAGTTCCATTGGACAAACTTAAATTTGTGAAGGGAACAGACTACGAATTGTCTAAAGAATACACACTAGATGTTTACAAAATGACTTCAGTTGTTACAGAACATGATGCAAAGAAGGCTGGAGCTGAAGTTGTTAAACAAGTAGAAAATCCTTTACTAAGTGGTCTTCTGTATCCTAGTAAGTTATTAGATCAAATTATAATTATTTATCTTTCTAGTATCACTTTATTATGTTTAATTTTCTTTTCTCTTCTACCTTCTTTCTTACCACTTAATTCATTTTTTCAATTATTGAGATATATTTTTTCTTTCTTATTTGCAACTAGCAGATTCTTATTCCCATCCCCTATTAACCTTATTAATCATTAATCTAGTTGACAATTTATTGTATTATATGGTCTTATTGATGTTTGTATGTTTTTATAAATTTTCTATGTTTGATTTGAAGTTATTCCCCTATTATCATGTAAGAGTGTTCAAATATATTTTAATTTAAAAATGGATATTGCATCATTCACATTGTTTGGGAGATATAGGGTTATAATTTCTGTAAATTTTTTTAAAACTGTTTATATTGGTTGAACCAATAGTGCAAAGTGCAACAAGCTCTAAATAGTACAAGAACTATACTCCATTTGCTTAGCTCAGGCATATTTTGACCAGATTCATTGTCGGAAACCTACAACACAACAATTCCTACTTCTCAGTATTAATAGCTCAAGTATACTACTATTGCAGACTTCTTTCTTTGAAAAAAAGAAGAATTCTAAATAGTGGAAGTGTATACTTAACCCATCAAATTTTGGGTAGTATACTTATATTTAAAAAATATAATTTAGATGTTATAATTTAACATAACTATTTATTATATCATCATCATCATCAATCAGCCAATTGCTTCCACTGCTGGACATAGGCCTCCCTCAGTTCTTTCCAGTGTTCTCTACACTGGGCTGCTTGTAGCCAGTCTCCCGCTATATGTTTTATTTCATTGGTCCATCTAGTCAGTGGTTGTCCTCGGCTTCTTTTATAGTTTCTGGGCCTCCATTCCGTAATATGTCTTGTTCACTGTCCATCTTGTGTTCTGGCTAAGTGCCCTGCCCTGATTTGTTGGTTTGTTTTGTGGTCTCAAAGGCTCACATTCAGCATTGCACATTCCATGGCTTGTTGTGTAACTCTGAGTTTATTCGCAGATTTTTGCATGAGTGTTAAAGTCTCTGCTCCATAAGTTTGTACAGGCAAAACACATTGGTTATAAATCTTTTGCTTGAGACAAATGGGAATTGAACTTTTTAGAATATGGCTTTAATTTATTATATGGTGCAGATAAATAAATATTGATTGTCAGTAATTAGCAAAGTTCTATTTTATTTACTATTTAGTTTGTTTACTATTAATATTGGTTATGAGTTCGTGTGCTTGGTTGTATAGTAATTTCGAGCCACTTTTAGGTTGTCAAAAAGCATCGAGTTAGAATCTATGAAGCAGCTATGAGCATATTAATGTATGTATTAAAAAACGGCGTAGGTAGGTGTGGCTAATGATAATACCAATATGGCGGTGACATCAGGGCCAGACTCAATAATATTAAAACTACTATACAAATATGACTAGCTATTTAGAAGATTTATTCATAATCTAAAAAAGTGCAATACATTTTTAATAAACTATGATTTATTTATCCCGCGGTAACCACTAAAAACATGATATATTATACATACGGATAAATTAATACAGTCAAATACTATTAAGTTATTCTCTGAAGTATGGGCCATTACTTTGTTAACATATTTGTATACTAACCTGTGGAACAATATTCCTGAAGATTTTTTTATTAACATTGCTTCTGCTACTGCAACTACGTTGAGAACAAGAAACCATTATTATGCACTATCACAATATATTACAGTTTCTAGAAAAGTATTATAAAACTGAAAATATTCGAAAAACAACAAATGTAAACAAATATATACAATCTGTCAAAAGTTTCAAAATAATATTAACAATATGGCCGAAGTGAGGTCGTTTTTAGTCACTCCATAGATTCTAACTCGATGTCAAAACGTAACTAACTTCACAAAAAATAATTACTAAATTCACTAGACAGTTCGGACTGGGAATAGCAAACCAAGTATAAATATTGATTGTCTGTAATTCGCAAAGTTCTATTTTATTTACTATTTAGTTTGTTTACTATTAATATTGGCTATAAGTATGTGTGCTTTGTTGTATAGTAATTTCCAGCCACTTTTAGTCTGTTAAAAAGTAACTAACTTCGCAAAAAAATAATTACTATATTCACTCAACAGTTCGGACTGGGAATAGCGAACCTAGTATAACAGATTTTTCTACCAGTAGCATAAAATAAAGTGTTTTTTGTGTTTTCTTTGTGGAGAAGAAAACTTGTAGCATAAGAATATTCGAGGATAAAATTTACATATATTTGGATGCCTAGAGGTAGTTGTCATAGCTGTTAGTAGTTGTACATTCTCGGAAAAGACTTATATCTTGGATAAGATCTCTACACTCTGGAATATGAAAAAAATTTAGTAAGGAATATAAAACTTTCCATCTAATTTTAGAAGGTTCAAATCATCTCTTGAAGTTAACAATAAAAACAATTTTTTACAGAGGCACTATTACTTATGATTAAAACTTATAATAAGATAACAATAATCAATAAAACAGTGGTCTTATCACTCAAGATTTATTTGTTTTTGAATCATAGTATTTATAAAAATATTCTACTATTAGGTTTGCAAGCACTGGATGAAGAGTATCTTAAAGTTGATGCACAGTTTGGAGGAATCGATCAAAGAAAAATCTTTACATTTGCAGAAAAATATTTACCGCAATTAGGATACAAAAAGAGGGCTCACCTTATGAATCCAATGGGTAAGTATCAAATATTAACTGTAGATAGTTTTCCTAGTGATTTATCATCTACTGCTACAGTGGTTGATCAAACTATTAAAATCGCTTAGTAAAATAAAACTTTTTGTTTAAAAAGGATTTGTAACTTGTTCAAAAAGTTTACAACTTAATAGAATATAAATAAATGGAACATATTTTGTACAAAAGAAATTAAACAGAAAGTTTAATTTTACAATATGGATCTAACAATTTGTTGACAGTCTCTTAAAATATAAAATTGTAAAATAAAATATAACATTTTCCAGTGCCAGGATTAACAGGAACGAAAATGTCCTCTTCAGAAGAAGACAGCAAAATTGATTTACTTGACTCTCCTGCCAATGTAAAAAAGAAACTAAAGAAAGCTTTTTGTGAACCTGGAAATATCGAAAACAATGGTTTGCTTTCTTTTGCTAAGCATGTTATATTTCCTTTATTAAAACCAGATGAGAAATTCGTGATTTCTAGGAAACAAGAATATGGAGGAGACTTAAACTTTTCCGTTTATGAAGATCTGGAACAATCTTTCGCCAAAGAAGATGTCCACCCAGGTGATTTAAAGGGAGCTGTGGAAATGTATATTAATAGGTTGTTAGATCCAATTAGAAAAATTTTTGAGTCTGCTGAATTGAAGAAACTAGCTGAAAAGGCATATCCATCACCAAACAAAAACAGTAAGTGCCATAAAACTTTTTTGCATATATTTTTTTTAAATATGCACCCTTTCTATATCACTGCAACTCTTCATGCGATTCTAAAATTGTTTGTAACAGTGCCGGAAGTCTTCTTTTGTCAGATCCTTCGGGATGTGTAATGTTTTCTCTTTCATAGCTTCAACAAACTAAAATTAAGTTCTTCTTAATACAAATTGCATCTCAGGAAACCTATAGAAGATTAAGGCAGATACACTGGGATGCTATACTTGTTTAGCAAACTCTTGACAATGTTTGGTGGGCAGTGAAAATTGTCACACTTACTCATTGTTATTTACTACAATATCAACAATCAAATGAATACTGAACTGATGGTCAGATCGAAATCAGATTACTGATTTTTTAGATATTTTCATTCATTTTGATGTGCAAGCGACTTTCATTGTGAATCATCTTCAGATTCTTTCCAGCTATCTTCAAAATGCTCAAAAGCATGTACAAGCAATACACATTATTTCAATAACTTCCTTTTAATAAATTATATACTCACCATTTTTACGGGGAAATCATCTCTAGCTATTCATTTATTTGTAAAAGCAAGAGTTACTATATTCTAATTAGAAAGTTACATACTAAACATAAAACATTTGGCACATGTTCACTTCTCTTGAAGTAGCATCAGTCTCAATAGTTAATTGCAACACCTTATATAGTGATTATCTTCACATACTTTATATTGGTTATAATACTTAAAGTCTTAATTTTTCTGTAGAAGCCCCTGCCAATCAAAACGCCACTACAGATGAAATCGTCCCAAGCAGATTAGATATTCGTGTTGGAAAAATTGTTGAAGTGTCGAAACATCCTGAAGCTGATAGTCTCTATGTTGAAAAAATCGATTTAGGAGAGGAAAAACCTAGAACCATCGTAAGTGGTTTAGTTAATTTCATACCCATCGAAGAGATGCAGGACCGAATGGTGGTGGTGCTCTGTAACCTTAAAGCAGCAAAAATGAGAGGAGTGGAATCCCAAGGAATGGTTTTGTGTGCTTCAGTGTAAGTATTTTGATGACATTGTTTTTAATTAGTTAATATAGTCACCATCGATATTATTGTAAGCTAGACATTCAATTATTTAGTGACATACCTGATTAACTGAATCAAAAGGGTTGTATTTGTGAATATGCATATGTTCTAATAACGTCTGTTAGACATGTCTTCACCTCAATGAAGTAGCAAATCTTAAGGTTAAATTGTGATTTACGAATTAAATATTTGAAAACAATTAAATATTTAAGTAGAAATGGAAAAATGGCATCGAAAAATTTTGGACGTAAGTCACGCTAATGTAAGGTGTAAGTCACGCTGTATTCCTATTGGTCCATTGACGTCACGTGGCCACGCCCCGTGAGCAACGCCCATTGACGTCACGTAGTCAATCCAACATGGCGGCTGTCAACCAACAGTTGCTTATATCTAAATCAGACCAATAGATGAAACATATTTGTACAACACAGATCGCCCAAGAAGTGTTTTGACGAATCTACAAAATGCTTATTTGTAAATGTTTGCCAAAGAAAAAAATATGTCATTTAATGGCTAATTATTCTGCATGTAGTAGTAATAAAGTCTTTTCATATCTAATGTTTTTTAATCTAAAATCAGGACTGAAGTCACGGGATTATCATTCAGAAATTATCTACTCGGTCGCTAGCGATCTGAAGATGTTAACGGACCAATTCGTATATATCGTCCATTCTTCTTCACAATTCGTTCACATATTCCTCGCCAGCTACATCTTCTCAGGTCGACATCCAAACTCTAGATCACAAGGTAGTCGCATCTCGCGTCTGAATAGCAGTTTTGTTGGTGTTTGGCCCGTTGATTCATTAATAGCGGATCTGTAGGCCATTGCGACGAACGGAAGATATTGGTCCCAGTCTCGCTGATGATTGGACACCATTTTTGTCAAATACTTGCCAACTGTCTTATTCATCTGCTCTACCATTCCATCCGATTGTGGCACTTCAAATCGGCTGATATACTCTTTGATCTATGTTTTCAAACGGACTTCCAACACTGTATTGTCTTATATGAGTTTTTTTCCGGCAAGGTCCGTTAGTCGTCGCATAGGCAGTACATACATCGTCGAAACTATTCATCCAATAAAACCCTTCCCGAATTTTCAGATGGGTTTTCTTTATACCGAAATGCCCTCCTCATAAACTATCGTGTAACTGACGACGTATGTCGGCTATTCTGCTCTTTGGAATCACCAACTGTCTTTTCTTCTCTCATCATTTTCCAGTACTCGTTTAAGCAAGCTGTCTTCCATGATAAAGGAGAACCACTGGGTCCAATACGTCTTAACTATTGAGCATTAGCTTGATATTTCTTGCCAAGGTGGTCGACGGTTTTCTTCTTTCCATTTTCGAATTTTTTGTAAAACTGGATCTTTCTTCTTTGATCTGCGTAGGCGTCCTCTCGTCGTTGACCATCGTTGTTCTTAGCACCGCTGCTTCCTTGGATTCTGTTTTTTTTTTGCGGTGGTAATACTCTGCTTGACAGAAGATGAGAATCAGCATTTCTGTAGCTAACCCCGGCCCGATGTTCAATCTTGAAATCGTATTCCTGGAGTCGCTTAATCCATCTGGCTATCGTGGCCCTCTGGATTCTTAAACTGAATTAACCACTTAAGGGCAGCATGGTCGGTTCGTATTAAAAACTTCCTTCCAGAGAGGTATTGATAGAAGTGTTTCAGGTACTGATTTTTCATAGAAGAGGTACTGATTTCACTACTGCTAGAAGTTCTCTTCTCATGACGCAATAATTTCGCTCAGGTTTTGAAAGCACTTTACTAAAATATCCAAGCACTCGTTCTTGTCCTTGAATCTGAGATAAACTCTCCTTCTAGCAGTGGATACCACAGTATGGTGCTATTATCACATGCTTCTTCAAGGTTTTAAAGGCAGTTTAACAGTCTCCATCCCAGCAGTAATCTCTTACTTCCTCTGTAAGTCGCGTTAATGGTTTTGTTATACTGTAAACTTCTTAATAAACATCCAATAGTAAGTACATAGTCCCAGAAAACTTCTCACTTGATGTTTGTCAGTGGGTTCTGACTATTTCTTAATATAATTGTTTTTCCTTTATCCACGGCCAAAATTTCTTTGCTGACTATATGACCCAGGTAATTGACTACTTTTTTAGGTACGTTTTTTAAGATCTTAACCCCCTTAACACATTTTCCATAAGTCTCTCAAATGTCGCAGGAGCATTACAGAGTCTAAATGGCATAACATTGAATTGCCACAATCCAGATCCTATGGTGAAAATTGTCTTCTCGTTATCTACTGGATCCATTTCTACCTGCCACTATCCAGACCTTATATCCAAACTAGAAAACAAATTTACTTGCGGCCAACGTACCATCGATCCGAGGCAGAGGATAACTATCTTTCTTGGTAACATTGTTCAACAAACGATGGTTCACACAGAACCTCGTGGTTCTGTCTTTGTTCTTGACCAGGACTAGACCAGGAACAGTACCAATTTTATGTTTAACAACGGTAGTTCTTTTCTCCTTTCGGTACGAAAATGTCACGATACCGCCGAAGAAATTCCCTTAATTTCCTTTTTTTACCTGATTTAGAGACTGACCAGCAACTGCAACGATTTGGACGAATTTGTCGTTGTATTATCTGATTTTGTTGTCTGGCGAACTATGAACGTCACAGGTACACAGGTTCCTACTTTTGTCTCTTTCTTGATGGTCACTGGATAGTCACTGACATTGATAAGTCTTACAGGAATTTCTTTAGCAGAAATCACCAATTCCTTTCCAATTATGATTTCCCTGTAGCCGCGCTACAACGATCGTTTCACTTCTTGCAGTCAGAACTGTATCTTCTTTAACATATGCTTGCACAATGCTGTCATCATGTGGGTGAAGAAATACCTCCTCGTTACAAACTTTGATTACCTCATTCTTAAAAATTGAAATCCATGCATATTCATTATGTCCATTCCTAATATAACATCCTCTTCGATGTCAGCAACTATGACAGTATGGACGAACTTTTCTGCTCCAATTCCTAATTGTATCTGGCTTTCAACCAACCAACCTCATTGTTTCTTACGGCTGTTTATAACTGTCGGGTTTATAATGGTACATATACACTATCTTCACTGCATTTTAAAGAAGCTATTAGTATGAGAGGGTCTTTGGAAGAGTTTCAGATCGAAGCTGCACCCCTAAGGCTGATTCGTTCTAGTTTTCCTGCGGGCGAGTTTCTTAATTTGTGTTGTACCTAGGGTGCTTACATGAATTTCTTCGTCTTCCTCTTTTATGGTCCTAACTTAACTGCACCCGCCAGAGAAGAGAATTATCCCTGGGGAATGTACTTTCCAACTACACCCTCGTGAGTACCTGGAAAGAGTAAACTTCTACAATAGATATCTCTCTCGAAATTAATAGCAGAAATTTCGAGGCAGGTATTAAAACAGGAACAACAGACCTCATAATATAAACAAATTGATTTAGTTTGGTGTTTTTTTCTTCTTCTTCTCGTGCCACTCCTAGCGGAGATTGGGAATCATCATGGCCACTGCGACTTTGTTAGCAGCGCGCTTAAAAAGTTCAATCGAACTATACCCGAACCATTCACGTAGATTACGAAGCCACGATATTTTTCTTCTTCCCACACTTCTTTTGCCCTGCATGATGTTTCTTAAAAGTTCGTACTTTTCACCTCTCACAATGTGCCCCAAGTATTCCATCATTCTAGTTTTTATCTCATTTAGAATTTCGCATCTTTTGTCTAAAGTTTGGAGTACTTGCGTGTTAGTGACGCGGTCCATCCATGATATTCTGAGAATGCGCCTATAGCACCACATCTCGAAAGCTTCGATGTTTTTTATGGTCAACTGTTTTAGTGTCCAAGCCTCAACTCCATATAACAGGGTAGAAAAGACATAACACCGCAGCATTCGTATTCGTAACTTTATATTGATATCACGATTGCAAAAGAGTTTGCGCATTCTATTAAAGACTGATCTAGCGATTTCTATTCTACATCTAATCTCTTTTATTTGATCAGTATCGTCTGTGATCCAAGCACCTAGATATTTATAACAGGCACACACTCAATCGTTGTATTGTCTATTACAAGATTAGCTCTGATGTTCTTTGATTTCGTGATTACCATAAATTTAGTTTTTTTTCAAATTAATTTTCAAGCCGTAACTGTTACAGTATATATTGAGACTTTGAACGAGATATTGTAGTTCTACTAGCGTTCCCGTTAGGAGAACTGTATCGTCAGCATACCTTATATTGTTGATCGTCTCACCATTTATTATCAGACCAAGATCTTCTTCCTCGAGTGCTTGTTCACAGATAGCTTCACTATACAGATTAAATAAAAGTGGCGATAAGATACATCCCTGCCGGACTCCTCGACGGATTTCAATTTCTTCTGTTAGTCTGCTCTCAACCTTGACATTTGCTGTTTGATTCCAATATAGATTGCATATAATTCGAATATCTCGGCTGTCTATATTTTTCTTTATTAGAACTTGTCTTAGTGGTTCATGTTGTACTTTGTCAAAGGCCTTTTCGAAATCAATAAAGCAGGCGTAAAATAAAATGTTAATAAAAAGAACCATTTTTTTTTTCAAATATTGTATTATCATTTTCAACAAAAATAAACCTTTTTTTATTTCAGGGATATTCCCAAACAAGTAGAAACCCTCATACCGCCAGAAGGTGCCATCCCTGGTGAAAGAGTAGTAATAGAAAATTTCGAAGACGGAAAGCCGGATGACGTTTTAAATCCTAAGAAAAAGGTCTGGGAAAAATTGCAAGTTGACTTGAAAACAAACACAGAATGTATAGCACAGTGGCAGGGAAATAATTTAGTTACGAAATCTGGCGGCAAAATACGAAGTAAAACAATGGTTGGTGCTCCAATTAAATAAGTGCTACTTAATTTCTATGTGTATTTATTTGAAGGCATTTACGATAAAGTCAGCTTTTTAAAGATTTGTATTTTTTACCCATATCCTGACAACACGTATAAAAACCTTTTATACCTGTCCTATACCACAATTCAAAATAAGGTACAGGAAATAAGCTATTCCCACAAATTATAAAAATAAGAAGGTTTCTTGATATAAGTAAAGCAGTCTTAAATGAAAATTATTTTATTTCACTCATACAGTACGTTAAGTTTTAAATTAAATATACACCCTATAAAGCAACATGAGCGCCGTCGACTTTCCACGTACCGGCTCTGTTGACAGTCGCCAATAATTTGTCGTTATACGGCGATAAATACCCACTACGGTGTAAAATCGAAATTGATGGAAAATAATAAAGCAGGAAGTAAGGTTTAGATATCTGGGAATAGATATAATTAGTTACGGAGATGTTGAAGAAGAAGTTCGACAACAACGCTTAAAAGCAAGTAAAGCGATAAAAAGAATTATCAAACTACAGAGGGCTAAGTGTCATAAATTCACTCTCAAGGCTCTATGGAAAAATAATAAAAAATAAGTTAATTACTATTTAACTGGCAATAAGCCACAATTAAAGATAAAAATATGTTTATTGACGTTTCAATTTCCACTTCGGAAATCGTTCTCAAAATACAAACAGTAAATTAAACAGATTTTGTTTTTTGTTACATAGTGAAAAATTCTTCTAATAATTTAATTTTATCTGACTCATTTATATTGACAATTCAGACATACATTATGCATTTTAAAGAAGACGACTTTAAAATGATATTGCCAATATTGTTGAGTTGCGCTCCTGGGACGACTTTACTTATAAGATAGTTCATTCGATTACATGAAATCAACTTTAACTTGAGAATATCCGTCAGAAAAAATCATAGCATGTAATTCGTCTTTAAAAAGACAAAGACATGACATGATGACAGTAAAATTCTCCTGTTAGTGATTCCATAGTAAATAATGAGGGAAAAACCAGGAAAACACCTCATAATACTATCCCTACATTGTAAATATTTGTTCGTGAATTTAGTTTACCTTCAACAAACATCAAAATTCTGATTTTATATGTTACGTTATTTAAAAAACATAAATGATGTATCCTCTATATGTTACTGACTTACTAATACTGGTATTTTCTTATTAATAACTTCCTCTTTCAATATTGGTAACCAGATCCTACTACATTCTGCCGAGGAATTTGCGACACAGAATTATGAGACATATGAATTGCTTTTCAATCCTTTTCATCCACTTCTCTATTGGGAAGAAAGTTGGACATTTTCACAAAAGAAAAAAGAGAAACACTTTTGAAGAAGTTTTGTCAGATTATATTAAGGAAAGAAAAATATGCATAAGATAAGAAGGTTAAAATGGCATACAGCTAGAAAAAGATGGTTTAGCTTTAATTAGATTGGGTGTGTTCCAACTTCAGCTGAGAGGGCAAAAAGAAGATTAGATTTATTTCCAAATAAGTTACAGTTGTGTTCAAACCATCAAACACAGAAGTGGATAAAACAACATAAAAATATTAATGATTTCTAATAAACTCTTAAGATATATTATCCTGTCTGTATATAAATAATTATTGTTCGTATACTTTACATAGTTTCATAAAGTATCTTCAAGGTTTTTATTCATATTATTTAAAAATTCAGGCATCAAAGGTTCATTAAAATAAAAACACTAAAGTATTTATTGATATTATTTTATACTGAAAATACCAAAAAATTAAACATTAGATGAAATCAGTCTTACAATAATACAAACTAAGATGATTTGTAAATATAAAGAGATGAATTTATACTAATAGTATCTATACAATGTACACAAAACCATGAACTAAACAAATAAGAAATGATGATTTGAAGATCTAGTGAACATTTTAATTTCACTTATCACCAGCTCCTTTTCCTCCTTCTACTGATTTTGCAGGTTGACCTGTTTGTTCGATGGCAATACTTTTGTGTTTTATTTCCCCAACAGCTACTTTCGGGGCGGTGATGGAGAGAACACCGTCTGAGGACAGCTTCGACTCGATTTTACCCATATCGTAATTTTTAGGCAAAACGTATCTTCTGATGAAGTGTCTGTAAATATGCCCATGTTCGTCCTCTTTTTCTTCGTGTTTTCCTTCAATGGTAACCTCCCGATCTCCTGTTACTTTCACAGATATTTCTTCAGGTTTAAATTGTTGGACATCTAGGTTGGCCGAGAATTGGTCTTTTCCATAATTTACTGTAGAGCCGGAATCATTTCCAGACGATGCAGACTGCCAATTTCTGAGATATCCGGCAGGGCATCTGAGGAACTGTCTGGAGACAGGTTGTACCAAATCTTCTGGCTCCAAAACTAGTCCAAAATGTTGATCAAATAGTCTTGATGGTCGTGTGTAGTAGCTATCGCCAAACAAATATGGAAGCAGAGACATATTTCACTTCACTAATACTATGTAAATAACAAAATTACTTTATTATTCGCCCTCCAAATATATTTTTCAGTTTGAAACTCACTGACACTGACTGTCTGATTGAATTGACAGGACAACCCGGCAATGAGCGATTTATATCCGAGCTACAACGACAACCAATCTTCCCTCGAATATTCTCGAAAATCGATAACTTTAATCCTTCGAGAATGATCCAGAATGCAGTTATAATAAATACTATTCGCATAGAAGTTTGGTAGTGGCTACTACTACTAACGACGAGTAATAAATAAAGAACAGTTATGATTTAAAGAAATATTGTTATATTTATAACGATTATCAATATTTTAATAAATATTGTTTATTCGAATAAAAAACTTTTGGCATAATGCGTAGAAGAGATTGATTGAAAATAGAACAAGTAAAATACAATATCATTCATTAGAACTAAAAAAAACACGAGTTAATTCAAATGAAATAAAAAACCGGGTCATATGCACGTCAATTGAAGTGGAACTATATTTTTTATGTAATATTTTTAAACTAAAATCAAAACCAACAAAAAGAAATTGTTGTTTTCATATCATTGCAATATATTAGAAAAGTTTGGTTTTGAGTTCAATAATAAAAAAATACAGAATAAAGTGTCATGGACAGGATAGTATCTGCAAATATAAAGTAGTGTTTCATTATCTTTTATTCAATTAATTGACCGGTGAAATGATAATATAACAAGAGAGTCGCTGAGACAACTATGTAACAATTCTTTTGGGTTCTATATAATGCAAAAGTTATGCCAATTCATTAAAATTGTTTTCGTATTTCAATTTAAGTGAAGATTGGCTGATTTTTAGAATTTTTGGGCTATAAACTAAAATTTTATATTTTATGTAAAAATTGAAAAAATATCGGTTAGTTTACTGAAAACCCTTTAAAATGAGTTACGAGAAACTTTTTCGTTGCATTTATTCATTATTAACAAGTGGTTCAAAAAGAATAATAATTTTATGGAATAAATTGTTAATAACTTTTGCAAAAATGATTTTACAACTTTCAATTTAGCATCACAAGAAGGATTTTTCATTTTATTTTTAGAGCGTTGCACGATGATAAACTACACTTACAAGTTCTGCCTTCAACTGAACTATACGTACAGTCGTGTGAATGTTTAGTTTGTACAAAAAATTAATTTATTGTCTTTATAACAGCTTGTTTTGTAACCTGTAAAGTTAGTCTTAGGTAGTCTGTTTGACCTCTAAAAATCATGCTAACAAGATGAATTTTGCTGAAAACGTCAATTTTGGGACTAAAAACAATTTTTCACTCCTACTGCTGGCTTTCTCCTAAAATGTCACCTCGTAGGTGTAGAAAAATGGAAAACATCGATTTACCAAGAATCTGCACGCCATGGGAAAGAATATTTCAAATAAAAAATGTAGCTGAGATAATTTTGAACGATTATATATTTATTAGCACCTTTGTAGAATGCAGCGTTCTCAGAAACAACGCTTGAAGCTACCGTCGATTTTTAATGTGTTACGTGTGAGTTATAGTACTGTTACGATAAATCTTGACACAAAACCGTAAACATATTTATTACTAATATTCTAATTCATTCAAGTATTTTTCTAGGTCATATACCACCGATTAGAACTCTCCAGAAGGGAATCGAATAAAAACAAGAACCAGCCGGAGGCCTGACCCTTCGAAGAACATGTTTACACTCTAAACCAGTTCGAGATCATTCGCCGTTATGGGATTTTCCTTCCTAGCCGAGAAGGTCATCGAACCTTCGACGGTGCTCTAGTCTAACAACTGTATTGGTATATATAACGGGACTCTCATTGTGGGGAATCAGTCAGAAGATCGCGTCGAGTTATTAAATGTAACGCTCGTATTATAATAAATATGTGAAATAAATTAGTTATATTGTACAAATAAATAAACTTTAAATTAAGTTGTAATTGTTATAAATATAGAACCTTTGATAAATAATAAAAACAATAAATTAGAATTAATAAATATACAACAGTTCAATGACCGCTAGAATCCAGTATATTCGACCCGTAAATAATATTAACCCGAACCTCAATAAATTTATTTTTGACTACAACTATTATTTACAAGCAATGAATGTTCTGGACCAATTATATTTATCTCTTCAAACCATCCTTTAGCTAATAAATGACCTAGAAGAATCCATTACATTTTCTCGTGTAAATACTCTCCACAGCAGTGTGATCCAGAAACAAGAAATAAAATGGGTAATCAATAAAATGTTAGAACACCATAAGGTAGACCAGGTTGTGTACATCAAAGACATCTTAAAATACTACATCATTAAAGAAAATGCCTATTATTCAAACCATACTATTATATTTATTCTCCATTTTCCAGTACTACGCCCTTATTTGTTCCTTTACTTATTATCATTTATTTCCGATAGCTACCACAAATTTTAACTACTATTATCCCTCCCGAACCATATCTCCTTATAAATTAAAAATCCTTTCAATATTTGGAAGAACCATGTGCCTGAATCGAGATATCTTTGCAAAGAAGGAACCATACTAGAAGCAACGAAAATCGAGGAATGTATTAAGCAAATCTTACAGTTAAGTACCAAAGAAGCTTCTTGCCAATACACTCATGTATAAACTCGAGACATTCTCATCCAAAGACTGTCAGAAGGTCAATATATTGGAATATTCCCAGAATCAACCAAAATTACAACTCAATGTTCTACAACAAATATTTTGGCCCTAAAAGAAACTTGTCTCATTAATCTTCCGCCAAGATGTGAATTTTAAGCTCAAGAACTTCCATCCCAGAGGAACCGCTAACGATTCCAAAATTAGGACCATAGATATTCAAACATCAACGAAAGTCTATATACACTAGATTTTGAGGATAGATCACATATCCTTAGACAAACTTCATAAACTATCTAAGGAAGAAAACCTTGAGACAATTAACCTAAAATCATGGAACCATAGCCATAACCATTTTTGGAGGATGACTCCTGTATATATATATATATATATATATATATATATATATATATATATATATATATATATATATATATATATATATATATATACTTTTTGTGTGTTTTACTGTATCAAATGCTTTATGGTAATCAATGAAGCATGCATAAATATCGCAATTCACATCTCTACATCGTTGAAATAGCACTTGTATGCTAAAGAGAGCCTCTCTCGTACCCACTGCGTTCCGAAAACCAAACTGTGTACGGCTGATTTTTTCTTCGCATAGTCTATATCCTTTGATGTATGATTTTTAGAAATAACTTTAAAATGTTGCTCATTAATCTGATGGTCCAGAAATCATTGCATGATACGGATTTTGTTTTCTTTGGTAGAGCAATAAACGTTGACTTCGGCCATGATCTTGGTATTACTCCGTTTGAATATATTTCATTGAATATTTTTGTTAGTCGTTGAGTACCTTCGGTGTTAAGTAACTTTATGAGTTCAGCATATGCAATCTCAGGTCCAGGAGCTTTGCCATCTTTTAGTTATGATATTGTTTTTTCACTTCATCTGATGTGATTGGTAAGTGGTCATTAAATAATTATATAGGACCGAAGTTGTTCAGACCTATTATTATCATCAAAGAGTTCTTGTATGTATTTGCTCCATATGCATATTTCTTGTTTTTTATCTGTAATGATGTTCCCCTGACGATCTTGCAGTTTGCTAGCTGTGTTGGATTTTTACAGTAAACTACACACTAACAGTAAACATAATTGTAAATTATTTATTTTTAAATATATTCAAGATCAAAACATACTTAAATAATACGCCATATTTGTTTTTTTGATTTTATGTACTGTCTAAAGCCTAATCTTCCCGAAGCAGATGTATTCGTTTAGAAAGTATAACGACTTAAAATTAGCCACTAAAATTTGTTAGGGGCTTTAGTTTGTATTTACATCAGATTGATCTGCCAACGAATTATCAGCAAAAAGGATCATCCACAACAAAATCTCAAATCTATTTCTGGACTTAACGTTCTTTGCAAAATGATTGGTGGCAATTTCGTCATTGCTGAAGTAGTATGCAATTTTTGGTATTTTTGCGAAATTTTCAGTATTTGTTGTTGGAACTTACTCATGCAAGAATGAGCTTGGTTTAGGCATATTTAAACTATTTAAAAATAAAACAAAACACTGACAGTCGTCAAAACGATTTTATTAAAAAACAATAAATATAATTTTCACAGAAAATATCACTTTCAAATTTTCTTAAGTAGTAACAATCTATAAAAATGTAAAAAGTACATTTTCTGTCGAGATCCGTATGACGCAACACGATAGGCACCTAGTCAAGTAATCTAAATCGACATCAAAATAAAAATATCGTAGTTACTGAAACTTTAACCTGCGTGTCTAAGCCAATACACTAGCCAATAGTGTTAATTATATACGTAAGGCTACTACTACATTTTAAACCAATGTTCTATTTTCATAACTACTCTATAAAATAATTTAAGCGACCGTTACAACACTTAAAATTTGCCACAAAGTTTATGTAAGATTTGACTTTTTCGTCATTTGCGTGATGTGTTGCCAACGAAAAACTACATATAACGTGACAACTGACAGTTTAGGGATGTTAGAGATGACATGCTAAACAAAGGAATACTATAGACACAATAAGAATATATTCTTATTCTGTCTATGAGGAACACCGTTGAACCATATTGAAATAATGATTTAACTATCAGCTGTGAAGGGATAAATTAAACAATTTAGTTAAACCAGATTAATTTTTAATATTGAACACTCTGGTCATCCCTAAATAACTAGTTCAATATAAAACATCCAAACAGTTATGAGTGTTGCTGGATAGTCCAATCATCAATTGGGCACCAAGAATTAAAAATTTTCAGAAGTCCTTTTCAGTCTATTCCCGCACGAGTTGTCATATCTTTCTCAAACCATACTGATTTTGCACACTTCAAACACAGTTTGTTGAATTGATTTTGTAAAAACAATAAATGATCAATAGATCAAACAAGACAATAGATGAAACAAAAATATCTTCAACGAAGAGGTTCATGTAAGTCACTTTATAATTATTAATTTCACTGATAGTTGAAAAAATTGCTGTTTATTACATTATTAAATAATCACTGTTTGTATTTAATATTTTTAACATTCAAAGACAAGTAGTCACA